GGAGCTGCCGTATTCCATTTAACCACTGTTTTTCTGTGTTACTTGGGATCGGATCCGAAGGAGCTAGCCACTAGCTTCACTCCGTATCACCTTCTGATTTTTTGCTGTCGCATTCATTGCTTCTTCCTTGTGGTGAAACTGAGGCATTTTTTTTACTTCACATCACAAGCTCAACTGTAAAATGATATCTGTGTTTATGGAAACAAAATCGAAACTATCACGAGATCTATGTCCCCTTTTGTGATATTATAAATTTATGCCACTGCGAATCCGACTCTTTCGATATAGTTTCGAATGTGATGATGATATAACGTCCGTCAGTTCAAAAGAAAGAATCTACGGATACATCGAAAGAAAATAGACGGAAACTTCATACATCGAACATCAATCGGGTAGCGTGAAACACCCCTAAATGTTCGCTTTCCCGCACGATAAGGATTTTTTCTCTCAAAAGAGGGGCTTTTCCGCATGCATACAGAAGAGAAAGTGGTGGGGTTAGGAGGACGCCACGCGGAGTGAGTAGAAACTACCGTTTGCCATTACGTGCTTACTCCGTTCGTTTCTGCGCTCCCCTTGTTGATAGGATCGGGGCGATGAAACGCAAGAACCTGTTGTTCGCAAAGTTGGCGATAATAGAGAGTTTTAGTACTGCGTACGTGGCGGCGTTGCGTACGTAAGGACGCCACGTTCTGCGTAGTGCGCATGCGCAGACCGCAACACGCACGTATCGCGTTACGTACGCAGCCGCTACGTACGCACGCATGAGATGCGTGCGTACGTAGCGGATTGGCTCACATTGGCTGTCAACAACACGTGCTTCTATTTTGATCTACCAGATGACGCAACACGCTTCACGCCCGTTACGTACGCGGGTACTACGGCGTACTAAAAGCCGATTAGTGGCAAACGACGCCACGTAACGCAAGGCGCTTGCGTGATGCGTACGTAAGCAGCATTTCGCAGTACTAAAACTCTCTAATCAACGCAGTCCAACGCGGTGAACAGACGCCTGACGTCGCTGCTGCATACGCATCCCAACAAGACTTCTGACTCGAGGCCAAAGCGGACTGGAGGCTTCCAGCGCTCGACGTGTACACAGTGAGTAGTGAGTGAGTAACAACTTTATTAATCGAAGGGGTGAGGGGTAAGGGAGGCTAAGCCACGAAGGCTGCCAGGCTGTGCTTCCAGCGCTCGACGTGTACACACAGCCGCTTATGAACGTGTGGAGGTGCCTTCTTCGTCGATACCGTATTTTCTCCCGTATATCCCGTCCCTACGTATACGTTGCACCTACAAATACATACCACGGGAAATTAGAAATTACCGTAGAAAATATAAATCCTCGCGCATTGCTGTGAAGCCTGCTTCGCTTCATTATCTCTAAGACATGCCATGAAATTGACTTGCAGATGGTAGCGTGCATTGAAAATATGGAATTTTTTTACATCAAATTATATCCTTTGTCAAACTCATTTCCTTTGTTTATTTTTAAAGTTGAATAGATGTTAGTTTAACTGTAGCGCAGTCTTCCTTTTTGCAAAGCACCTCCGTCATTGTCTTTAATTGTACTTGCCTTCTTGATGAATCAATGTAAGGATAACTACCTTATGACTAAATATCGGTGTGCCTGTTTAAAATCTAAAAAAAATGCAATAAGAATTCGCCGGCAAAATTTTTGGCTGGATTCATCTGATAAACTCCTATTTTTACCGTCAATGCGGCTCTGTTCTATTCTTGCCCCGCCGCGGGCGAGAATGGAACACGAATGAATATGTGCAAACGCGACAATCGTGATATGTGTGTCATGTGAAAACATGAGGTACATGTCCCAGTCAAGGCGTCAATACATCTCGACGTGACGCGGTGCGCGTGCTCGCCGGCGTTGCTTTGACGCAAGCGCGTTTCAGCTCGTCCGGCGTCCCTCCGCCACGAAAAGAGGGTGACGCAGTGTTGTCTGGGTAACGCATCGGCGCGAAATGCAGCAAGTCGCATTTCGCACCGGTTGCCGTCGGGCCGCGCCGACGGGCCGCGCCGACGGGCGTTGGTCGAAATAGTCGCTCCTGGCGTCAGACCCGCGTTTTGTGCCCAGCGTGCGCGTGCGTCAATGCTAGATTGGAGTATATGGGGCTCTTCAGGACGCGCTCGCGGCCGTTTTTCTAGCTCCACATATACCAAATTTGCTGTTAAGTGACGTCAATGGATGACGAAAGTATATGACTGGTGCAAACATGGTAATCCTGTCATGCCTGTCATGTAAGAACATGACAACATAGAATGCTCATAGCGTTCTCGTGGTCCTTTCACTCGCTCCACATATACTAAATTTGGTATCATGTGACGTGAATGGATGACGAAGGTAAAGGACACATCCAAACATGATAATCATGACACGGAAGTCATGTACGGCATCATTTACCTCCACCTCGTAATGTTGTGCTGCTTTTAAAATGACATGTCAACCTTTCTCATTCGTGCTTCGCATATCATCGATTCCCACTTACCGTGGGATCTTCCAATTTTTGTAGTAGTCTTTTTAATAAAACATTACAAGATTGTTACCTGGGATTCTGCAGGTCTCAATATATTTACATTACGTTCTAATTTTACAATGATTGATGAGGGAATGCTCATATTCTTGTCATGGTTTTTATATGGACAGCCAGTCGACATTTAGGACTTAATGTCCGGTTGGACATCCAGCTTGGATGTCCAGAGAACAGCCACATGGTACATGGATTTTCACAGTACGTTCATTCGCTATCTGTGTTGGATGTCCATACGGCTGGGCATTCGTATTCGGAATGGACAGCCAGCAGATATCCGTGGTTACTTGGGTGCAAGCTTTATGGTTGTAATACACCCATATGCATATGGGTGTACTTGAGCATGTGTCCATGCATGTTTGTGTGTACAAACCTTCTAGACAAATAAAGTATGCTTCGTGTGTTCTGATATTTTTTGTTCAAATTTAATTTAATCTAAGATGATGGATTATTGCAGATAATGCAAAATCAAACTCCATGTTTAGAAGAATCCAGGATATACAAGAAATAAACACTGGTAGATGTCAAATATCTGCCAAAAAATAAACTACAAAAGATGTCTCCTGTATTTCAAGAAAAATAAACTCCAAAGACACAGAGCTCGACATAGGATGTATTAAATGTACAAGTTAGTTGAGCTATTAATTTGTAATTTCAAATGGCTTGTGCGTTCAATTTTTTTTTAGTTGAGCTCTGTAGGTCCATTGCACTCTTGTTAAAGTACCGTTCTACAATGTATTTGCAATTCACGTGACGTAAAATGACTCCCTACTTCATATATGGAACCAAACCTAAACTCTGAAAGCACCATACCGGGCTACCAATTATAGCGGCTTTTGGACTACTTTGTTTAAGAACCAATTATGGCTTGTAAATGACAAAAATAAAAAATAAAGGACTCTGACTACTTAATTCATTTCATGATGGCATTTATGCGATGAACATAACACAACTTGAACTGTTTACACTTATCTGATCTTTTTTTAATAAAACCCATTATCAGTCAAGCACAATTTCTTTTTTACTTGTATATCATCATCATGACAAGCCTATTTAACTCCCCTGTGGGATGAAGTCCCTCAGTGGTCAATAATGAAGCCTGTTCTGAATGAAGTGATTCTATTTTATGCCACTGTATTTCTTCGTTCTATCATCAATTCTAACCTTTCACCATTTATGGCTGCATTTCCCATCTATTGGTATCCATGCCATCTCTCTAACTGACCAATCAGCCATACTTTGTATGTGCATCAATGTATTTTTTAATTTAATGATTTGTAATGTTTGCATTGTTTTAGCAGACAATTGTTCAGGTTGCTTGTTCTTCCTCCGAAAAGCTCTTCAGTTTATAATGTTTTTTTTTTCATTAAAAACGTGTTTTCTAATATGTGTTGACTGTGACTCACTGCAATTTTCATGTGAACCTTCTCATTTTTTTTTCTAGAAATTCTCGGTGTTTTGAAAAAGCTTCGCAAAAAAAGAAGTGCAGCAATACATATAGGTGTATAATTGTTATAACTGTGTCAATTGTGGTGAAATAAACCAAATTTGAAAAAAAACTTAAAAAAAAGATGCTGTACTTTTCTGCACTTACACGTGACGTCGTTATTCTTTCTTCAACAAGAATTTTACGTTTTAGTACCCTTCTTGACATTGCTTCAGGGACGACCTGTGCTGTGCATCCACATCACATGGTGCTTACATTTCAACATCACTCGTGAGGGACGTAGTTCATACACATAAAAAAAACTGCATGCTAATAAAGTCATGACCTTAGCCATGCCTAAGATAAGGTTGTATGCTAAATAGTGTAAATTAAAAAACATTAGTACCCACCACCGCCAGTTCTCGTAAAATATTTAGTTATTCAGTTTACGAAAGCGCCAATGCCAGTCGGTTCCAACGCTTGTTAGCAAGATTCACATTGGGATAGTTGGAATGACTACACGAGGAAGTCAACATTGCTCTAGACAGCAGATACAAAATGCTAGACATGTCAAAACTTAATCACAACTGAACTTTGTAAATGTTTTTTGCAGCAATGCACTCAACCTAAGTGAAGTCATCACTACTTGTAATGTTTTAACTCTTGCACTGGGATGCTTTCCGTGAAGTTAAGGATGTTCTCTTTAATCATTTGCCATTTGTTCGTCCCGACCTTCTCATTTCTTTGTAAAAAATTTCAATTATAAGTAAGCTATTCGATGTCTTGTTGTGTGTATTTGCTTTGTGCTATGCTACTTTCGTGTATCTACCTGATGTGTGTAAATTTTCTCACTTTTGCTGGCTACTGGAGGCCATATGCCTGCTGAAGAACAAGCATGCACTAAGACAGAGAACCAGCAGATGTGGAAACATTCACCTGAACCATTAAGAATTTAATTATTTGCACAGTAACTGCAGTAATTAGAAACTGCCTTAATACAATCTTTCTCTCTCTCTCTTCACAAAATGCAGTGGCTGGCGAAGGACAATGTCCAGGAGGGCACTGGGCAGCACCAGCGGCACCTATCACGTCCAAGCCTCCGAGTCAGCCCGTGACGCCAAGAACGTCAAGACCCTCCGCTGCATCGTCTTCTTCCTGGATGACAGCCAGCACACTTTTGATATTGAGGTACTGCCCATGCGTTGAACCCTTAAGACTTTACCACGAAGCTGTATTGGTCTCCAGTGCCTCCACTAGAGAGGCCAGCACTGCGATCGTTTTGACGTCGCAGATAGGATGCGAAGTTGTGGTATACGGCAGCTTAGCTTTCACGACACCACTTGCATCGTCCCCCATTGCTGCACCGTCTTTAGTCGCAATTTTACGAATAAAATTAGACAAAAGAGTGCCACAGGGGGCACCGATTCATACTTTTCTTGCCCTTATTATCGGGTCTCACCGCTTCTTTAAAGGCGAACTCTGGCAATTTTCAAGGCAGTGGATCTCAATGAAATACATTGGGTACGTTCATTTGCACATTTGCGCCATGCATGCCAAATTGCAGACTTGATAGTTTCGTAGATTTTTTTTTTTTTCAAATGAATTTTATAACTTGCCTCAAAATGCTTACCTCGCTTGCCAGAATTAATGGCACCATTGTGTGTGTGCACCATTAATGGCACGTTGAGTTTCGCCTGGCGGAAGTGACTAAGTGATGTGCTTCTGCAATGGCTGCTTGTATGCTATGAACTGTGTGGGTTTGGCCGGCGCTTCCTAGGTTGAGCGTGTGATTTCCTTTTCTGCGTTGGTGGGCGTGCGTTAGGTTCCAAGTGGTGTTGCATTGTGAGCCACACACGATTCGCCATATATTCACCATAACAGCGTAAGCGTTTTAGCTGGTCGCCGCGGACGGCTTGGACAGGTAGTGCCATCTGGCAGGCATTATGTGCAATCAAGCAAGTTCCGGCAGCATTAGGCAAATATTTACGTCACAGGTACAATCGCACTTGGTTGGGTTTCGGTATAACAGTTTTTCGGTAATTAAAAATTATTTTCGAGTTTTTTTTTTAGCATTACAGTTATCGGGTGTGTGAGAATAGTGTCTAAGGAACATAAAATCACCATTATCCTGACATGGTCAAAAAATCGCCGGAGTTGGCCTTAAGCACTGAGCTTCAAAACAAAGGGAAGCATGCACGGTCTCCACAGCAAAAGCGCAGAAAATGCGGTGTTCTTGCAGACAAAGTGAACCCGGCATCCTATGAGTGACGTCATCACGTAGGTGGCGCCACGGTATGTCCTCAAGGCCAATAATCTTATTACATGTGGAAAAACGCCTTTCCCTGGTACGTGCCGCAGATATTAGTCAAGCCCCTCTACTCACTAATGGATCTTTAGCAATGAAGAAGGCACAGCTGCAAAACACAAATCAAGACAACGCATGTCTCTCAATGCATGCTGCTCTAATGGAACACTTTACATGCTGGCTATAAAAGGGACCGTCTGGACAGACATTTCATATTTAGTAGCTGGATGTTGGAGATCGGCTTTGATGTTGAATTCTTTGTCACCTCTGTGTCTTGTGCCAAACAGCTTATCTGGTAGTCTGTCATCACAGAGTGCAGTGGTTCCTGCTACTGTGATTTCATGGAGAAATCTGCTCTCCTGCAAGGATGACATGCCATTTGCATAAACTTGATGCAAAATGGGAGGCTTGTTGCTAATGGATCAGTAATGAAACATACAGAGTCATGCTGAATTCTGCAATGAAGGAGTGAAGTTTATTTCACAAAGCAATAAGCTGTTCCTATCATTACATTCTTTTTTCTTTTTGTGTGGATAGTGTTTGTCCGTGTACACTAAAAAGGAATCTTGAATTGGTGAGATCTGTGGAAACTTAAAGGGCAAGTGAGAAAGAACTCGAACAATTGAGATGCCAAAAATGTGGGTAATGCATAAACTTGTTTGTATTTAGGATTAGCCAGTTTCAGAAATAGTATGAACACATGAAACATGCGTCAAAAATTTTTCTCAAAATTTCCAACTGCAGTAAAGTGATTGAAGCTTTTTAGTCTATAAAACTTGGATCACTTTGCTCAAGATTACTCTTAAAGGCAAATTCCGGCAATTTTTCGATGCCAATGGATCTCAATGAAGTTCGCTGGATACGTTCTTTTGCACATCTCAGTCATTTATGACACATTACAGGCTTGGGAGATGCGCTGATTGTTTGCAAATGGAGTCTAAAGATTACCTCGAAACGCTCCCTGGCTTGCCAGAATTATTGACAAGACTGTCTGTGTGACGTCATGTTTGGCATATCAACGGAAGTGACGCAGTCGATGGCATCGCTATTTTGGCTGCTACAGTGTTTTCTCTGCTGGCCACAAGGCGACGGCAGTGGTGTTTGGTGCGGAAAAGCTTTCTTCTTTCCTCTGTGATGTTTTGACTGTGCTTTGCTTGTTCTCTTTATTTTTTTTCACAGTTTTCATGCTCCGCGTCTGCAGGACTAGTATATAAATTTCGGTTTTTATCATATAGTACGTCATATGTAGACAGTGCGCTTAGTTAGGATTTAGTTTCAGTATTGTGCTTTTGCCTATTAAAAATAATTTTCGAATTTCTTGAGCATTCCAGCTATTGGGCTCGTGACAATAGTGTCTCGGAGACACAGAAACACCATTACCTTTACATCGTCAAAAAATTGCCGGAGTTGGCCTTTAAGGAAGTTGTTTCTTCTGTGTCATTATTTCTTTTTGATAAGTGAAGAAGTTTTCAGCTTGCCATTAACATTGTTTAAAATGTGCTATTGTACAACGACATTGTTCTTTTGCGATTTTCCTTACTAGTATTAGAATAAACTTTTCAATCATAAATATTGGTATTTGCATTGGTGTTTAAAACTTGAGTTCATACCACTCGTTGAATGAAGCATATGTTGACTGAAGCAATGAACAAGTTTACTTTAAAAAAAAGTAGAAGAATGGAAACTGTTTACAAAAGGCAGAGAAGAAAGGTTAAGTAAGAGATTATGGCAAATCAGTCTCTACAGAACTGATATGCAATGGTCTTTCTTCAATTATGTCAAAGTACCAGTAACATTAAACAGGTGATTTCATAGAGCAGTGATATTTACTTACAGCATATCACTATGCTGCTGTTTGCTGAGCTGCTGCAAATGCCTTGATAATGTTAGGACTACTTTTCTGAGAAAACTTGTTTGTGGCATGAACAAGCCTGGTATCCACGAATCGTTGGTGTGCATCTGTTCTTAATTGGCATTCAAGCTTTCTAAACATGAAATGAAACTGTATGTCTCTGTTCTTTAATTACACATTGAGCTGTGGCGATAGCTTGGTTGCCATAGTGTTTAGCTTCCACTGAGCATGTGCTTGCAGGTTTGATTCCTGGTCACAGCTGCTGCATTCTACGAGAGGTACATTTCAGAAGCAGCAGTTTAGTTTTTGTGAACGAAATAAAGGAAGTTGCACCTGTGGGGCTCGATATGAATATGTAGTGTCAACAGATAACGGAGCAATGTAAAGCATGTTGAAAATCGTTTGTTATTTTAGTTGAGATGTAGGAATATTAACGAGAAGGAAGAATAAGTTTTGCAAAAAAAGATATGAGACTTGGAAACTCTCTGTTGACCATGTAGGATCATGGAACATTGTGATAAAAGGCCAACCTCAGCTGCAAAGTTGTCATTACAGTGCTCCCTGCTGCCAGTTACCCACCAGTTCACGGCTTACTAAGTGCGAGAGCTACGGTGGCGGCTCGCACCAGTGGAAAATTTTTTGTTCTCTGTTTATTTAGCTATTTTTGTTTCTTTTTCCTTCCAATTCTACGTTCCAGTGAAATGATAAATATTTTTTTTTCTGTGATTTTTATGGCTTCAATGTATGTTAACTTCACACAGATTTAGGTATACAGTGAGTAACTCTAAATAGTTGAAATCAATGCAAAGCCCCACATTGTAATCTCTCTCATAGCCCACTTTTTTGCCCTGATATGTTAAACCTGATGCAAAGAAAAAGTCTGCAATAATCATTAAACCCTTTGTCTCTCACTCCTTCTCTCTATCTGAATGTGTGCTTTCACTTGTGTAGTACCATGGGGCATTGCAATGGCAAGAAAGTGACCATCCTGGGCGTGCTCTTGATTATGTTACAGAAACGATCCAAGGGCCAAGTTTTATTTGACCTCGTCTTCCGGCACTCTGAGCTGGTGGAAAAGGATTACTTTGGGCTGCAGTTTTCAGAAAAGGCATCGGCTATTGATGGCATGGTATGTGTTCCTCAAGACTGTGGGACGTTTTGCGTTTCCCACTAAGACAGTTTTGCCATTTGAGTGGGTTGTTCTCTAGACATCTTGCATATATTATACTTATGCTTATCTAAAATTAAGTACTTGTGTGACAGCCTATCGCACCCATGTTTTGAACGACTATACATATTTTTGCAGCTTCTACCGCTTCTCTGGTCCTCTGCTGCAGTATTTGCTCCTTTCTTTTGGGTCAATGGTTCTGAAAAGCACTTATTTACACCAATGATGCTCAAACCTCTTTGATGCTCAAACCAACGCTCTGTCTCAATCTTTTCAAGAAAGAGATTGCAGAACTGACTCGTCGTACCCTCTGATGTTTGTATCTGTGTGTATATGTATAAAGCTCACCTGGAATATAAAAGATACAGTGAATTTATTTATATTATTTTATCAATCTATTAACATCCAGCCAACAAAGCAGCTTGTATGTTAATTATTTTCTGGGGTCTCTATTCACTCGAGAACAAGCACCCCTCTAATGCAGCATTTGCTACTTTGTTATGGGAGAATAATTCTCGAAAATATGTTGCCGGCAATCTTCTTTCTATAATGCTCTCATTATCGTTATGGCTTTTATTTGTGCAGAAGCAAACGTTTTGATCAAATTTTAATATTGCACTCTGTAACAATAAAATACTAATCAATTCAGATATGATACTAATCAATTAGCATAGATCATGAAGTCTGTTCATATTTAAAACGCTGATTATTTGCTTCTTTTGAAAGTTTCAGGTACATTAAAGGCAGGGTGACAGTGAACTTTTGTGAGCAGTAGTATAATTGTGAATGTATTATAGAGATTTTGTGTTGTTTTTTGTTGGAAATAAGTTTTAAGGAGTACAGTTTAGTAGGCTTTGATGGAGTTTCATTCACATAACTATTGGTTTACATTGCTTTTTCATTCACCTAAAACCACTAACACCTTGATAATGCCAGATTATCAAAACTCCTTTGTTTCTTTTTTTAGCACACTGTAAGGGCATTCTTTGTTGTAATTTCAATTTAATACATGATGTCATTCTCAAAGTTTAATCAGCATCTTGCAATTAGAATTGATGCAAAACGTACATTGAAGAGATTTTGAAATTGTGCAAGTCTGTAGACCCACGCATGAAAGAAGACGACAAGGTAGGGCATCTTCTCAAAGGGGTTGCTGAGGATGTCTACAATTTCCTCATCGGCAAGGACACCTTGGCGTCTGTAGCGGACGTAATACAACACTGCCGCACGTTTGAGACACTGAAGCTAGGCGCATCACTCCCAAATTCGGTAGACTTGCCAACGTCACCACCGTTGCAAGTGTCGACGTCCCTCCAACATCCCCCTGTGATCTTGCCTCAATGATCAGGCAAATTGTACGCGAAGAACTTGGACGACGTGATGCTGTCAACCCGCCGAGAGCACCTGCTATCAACACCTCCCCGCCATACGACGCAATGTGTGCTGCCGTTGATGCCACGCTATATGATGTGCCCCAATCAAGAGCACCAGAGCCCCCAACCGACAACTTACATCATCGCCGTGGTTTCCAGAACGCCTCCCGCCAACCACCTACAATGGTGTCTTCGTGGGACGATCATGGGCACATGGCCCCTCGTGGAAGGTTTCGCGACGTGCGTGAGGCCCCTGTGTGCTATAACTGCGGTTTCCGTGGACATGTGGCTCGATTCTGTGGTCAAAGGCGTCGCCCCCAGCAACGCTACTACGAGGGACCATCACCTTCCTCTCGACAAAACCGCTGGCGCGGTGGTATGCGTTCAATGCGGGACGTGTACGATGGGGACGGTTTCCAGCAAACGACCCACAGTGATACGCATGTAGGACGCAATTTCCACCGGAATTTACGCAACGACTCGCCTTCCTCCGTGCGAAGCTTGACGCCCCCCACAACACGCCGGTTCCGTTCCCCATCTCCTGGTCGACGCGTCACCTCCCCGCCTCCGGGAAACTAGGTGGTGCGGCCAATGGAGGTGAGGTCGCCGAACATTTGTCACTACATCCGCCTATGCCTCCACCCGTTTTTATGACTCAAAATAGGGTCCCCGTGCTTATTGATGGACTTCCTACGATGGCTTTGATAGATACTGGAGCAGCTGTTTCAGTAATGAGTCTTAACTTCAAATTGCGGCTAGGGCATAAAGTGATGTTTCGCTGGGACAGTTGTGCATCATTTCGTGCAGTGAGCGGGGAGACATTGTGCCCGATCGGTGTGTGTGTTGTTAGTGTCACTTTGGGTGACAAGGTCTTCGAGGCTGAATTCGCCGTCCTGACCAGCTCCACCCATGACATCATCTTGGGCATCGATTTTCTACGCGAGTGCGGGGCTACTGTAGATTGCGGTGCTGGCGAGATTATGCTATCGGCATTTACTGACGATCCTAGGTGTTGTCAAGGATCTATCACCGTCATTGAGGATGTTGTCTTGCCGCCCAACTCAATGAAGACCGTACGCGTTGACGCCTCTGCCTCGGACGCCGGAAAGTTTGATGTTCTTGTGGAGCCCATTCCTCTTAATTGCGCCAAGAAAAATGTGCTCATTCCACATTGTGTTCTGTCGATCAGTGATGGGCGATCGGCCTTATTGGTGTCGAACTATTCAAATGAACCTGTTATGCTACCCGGCGGAATGCGACTCGCCCGCTTCGAACAAAATGTGACTAGTTTCATTGCATCTTTAAGTGACGAGAGAGTAGACCCTATTTGTGCAACGTACCATACAGAAGCCAACTTTCTGAGTATGGTAAACAAGTCGCTAACATCAGAAAAACGTCAAGCTTTGGTCGAAGTCCTTGCGAAGCACGCTACTATATTTGACTTTGCGCAGAAAGAAGAGCAAATAAGTGTACCCGAGTGGCGTACTCGCCATGGGATTGACACAGGATCCGCTCACCCTATCCGGCAGAAACCATACCGTGTCTCATCTGCGGAGCGCAAGGTCATTACTCAACAGGTAGAAGAGATGTTAAAGAAAAGGGTTATTCAAGAGTCGTGTAGCCCTTGGGCTGCCCCTGTGATTCTTGTCCGAAAGAAGGATGGTACATGGCGATTCTGCGTGGATTACAGACGGCTCAACTCTGTTACTAAAAAGGATGTCTACCCGCTTCCCAGGATTGATGATGTCATCGATTGTTTACATTCGGCATCGTACTTCTCATCCGTAGATTTGAGATCTGGTTATTGGCAAATACCCATGCACCCGAATGACAAAGAGAAAACGGCCTTCATAACCCCAGATGGTCTATTTGAATTCAATGTAATGCCGTTTGGCCTATGCAACGCTCCAGCCACGTTTGAGCGCTTCATGGACTCTGTGTTACGTGGACTAAAGTGGGAAGTTTGTCTTTGCTACCTGGATGACATTATAATATTTGGCCGTACATTCGATGAACACAACCATCGTCTAGACATTGTTCTCACCTGCCTTGAGAGAGCTAAGCTCACCCTGAACTCTAAGAAGTGTCACTTTGGCAGCCGCGAGACTCTCGTTCTCGGTCACCTGGTGGACAAGCATGGCGTTCGACCCGACCCCCAGAAAGTCGCAGCAGTCAGCAGCTTCAAACAACCTCAGTCGGTACGAGAGTTGCGAAGCTTTTTGGGCCTATGCTCGTACTTCCGTCGCTTCGTGCCCAGGTTCGCCGACCTCGCTTACCCTTTGACGTCCCTACTCAACAAGAACGCTCCTTTTCGGTGGTCAGCGGAATGCGAGTCGTCTTTTTCGCAACTCAAGTTTGCTCTTACGTCAGGGCCCGTACTTCGCCACTATGACCCATCAGCTGCCACAGAAGTTCATACCGACGCCAGTGGTGTAGGTATTGGCGCCGTATTGGTCCAACGCCATGGAGCTGCTGAACACGTCGTTGCCTATGCCAGTCGCTGTTTAAGTAAGCCGGAGCGAAACTATACTGTCACAGAGCAGGAATGTCTCGCGGTCATATTCGCCGTGCACAAGTTTCGCCCTTATATCTATGGCCGCCGATTCTCGATTGTCACGGACCACCATTCTTTATGTTGGCTCACTGGACTACGGGACCCATCTGGTCGTCTTGCTCGTTGGGCATTACGATTGCAAGAACACGACTTTGAAGTCTGCTACAAGAGTGGTCGTCGTCATGCCGACGCTGATTGCCTTTCACGACTTCCCCTTCCGACAACCGAGTGTGACGCTGACAACTTTGATGAATATTTGGCTGTAGTGGATACTCCGTTCCCCGACCTAACAACTTTTCGAGCAGAGCAACGCAATGACAACAGTCTCGCTTCTTTCTTTGTTTCCGGAACGAACGGTCAACGTGGTTTCGTCGTAAAGGATGGCGTTCTCTACAAAAAGAATTATTCCGGCGTAGGCCCTCGCCTACTTCTAGTTGTGCCTACAAGTCTTCGACAACACGTACTTCGAGCAATGCACGACGACCCAACATCTGGCCATATGGGTTTTTCTAGGACATTTTATCGCACGCAAGAACGCTTCTTCTGGCCGAAGATGCGTAAAAGTGTGACTGCATACGTTGCGAGCTGTGAGCAATGTCAACGCCACAAGCGTCCTACAACTCCGCCAGCCGGACTACTTCATCCCATAGCACCCCCGAGTTCACCATTTGACGTCGTAGGTGTCGACCTGCTCGGCCCTTTTCCGCGATCAACGAACGGCAACCGATGGATTATTGTGGGCGTTGACCACCTCACACGTTACGCCGAAACTGCGGCGATTCCTGCGGCAACGGCCACTCAAGTTTCACAGTTCATGCTGTCACACGTTATATTACGCCATGGATCCCCCCGTGTCATCATCAGTGATCGCGGGCGGCAATTTGTTGCCGATGTAGTTGAAGACCTCCTCCGTCTTGCTTCGTGCCATTTTCGTCACACTACCCCGTATCACCCGCAGGCTAATGGTTTGACGGAACGAACAAATAGGACTCTCGTCAACATGATTTCCATGTATGTTGATTCTGGACACAAAACATGGGACGCGATTTTGCCATTTATAACTTTCGCCTACAACACTGCACAGCACGAAACAACGAGGTACAGTCCATTTTATCTGCTCTACGCACGCCAACCCCGCACAGCTCTTGACACTATTCTTCCTTTTTCCGAGACTGATCAACCTACTCTCGCCGAAACCATTTGCCGCGCAGAAGAGGCCCGGCGCATCGCCTGTCTTCGAACTTTCGTCTCACAGAAACGCTCCAAAAACCGTTACGACAGAAGTCACCGGCACGTATGGTTTGAGAAAGGGGATTTGGTGTGGCTTTGGACGCCGCTTCGCAAGCGCGGCCTCTGCCAAAAGTTTCTGGCCAACTACACCGGTCCGTTTGTTGTCTTGGAACGTCTAAGCGATGTCACGTACGTGATATCTCAGCTGTTGTCAACTGGCCGCCGCTCAAGCAAGACCAACGTCGTTCATGTTGCCCGTTTAAAACGCTATCATCATCGCAACGAAGCCTAACTCGCCCGGTGGGCATCGTCTGCAAAGGGGGAATTGCTACGATACTGAGGATGCGCGTGGAAGAAGAGGAGAACGAGGTTGGCACGAGCAGTGATCGGCCAGATCCCTGGACTCTCGCATTGATCATCTCCTGTAAATAAAGGCATCCATCGCACCGTAACAATATTTTATCAATCTTTTAACATCCAGCCAACAAAGCAGCTTGTTGATGTCAATTATTTTCTGGCTGCTCTATTCACTCAAGAACAAGCACCCCTCTAATGCAGCATTTGATACTTTTTTATGGTAGAGTAATTCTCAAAAATATGTTGCCGGCAATCTTCTTTCTATAATGCTCTCATTATCGTTATGGCTTTTATTCATGCAGAAGCAAACTTTTTGATCAAATTTTCATAGTGCGCTCTGGAGCAATAAAATACTAATCAATTCAGATATGATACTAATCAATTAGCATAGATCATGAAGTCGGTTCATATTTAAAATGCTCATTATTTGCTTCTTGTGAAAGTTTCAAGTACATCAAAGGCAGAGTGACAGTGAACTTTTGTGAGCAGTAGTATGACTGTGAACGTATTATAGAGATTTCGTGTTGTTTTATGTTGGAAATAAGTTTCAAGGAGTACAATTTAGTAGGCTTTGATAGAGTTTCATTCACAGAACTATTAATTTACATTGCTTTTTCTTTCATCTGAAACCACTAACATCTTGATAATGCCAGATTATCAAAACTCCTTTGTTTCTTTTTTTAGCACACTGTAAGGGCATTCTTTGTTGTAATTTCAATTTAATTACATGATGTCATTCTCATAGTTTAATCAGCATCTTGCAATTAGAATTGTATCCTTAAAAGCACACTAAAGGGAAATAACAATTTATGTCAAAGTGAAAGCTCAATGTATGACGTCTAGAATGGCATTATTATCAACAGTACTTCTTGAGAAATTAAAACTAAATGTATTACATGGCGTGTGCCATCAAAGGGACATTTCATAAATTATCCCAGTGACTTGAGAGCGTCCGGCTACAATTAATGACCAGTAATGAAACTAGATGCAATAAAAAACAAACCTTCCATGCATCAAGAGGCATAATAAAGTCCTGTCTGTCTATTTCTGTTTGATTAGTAGAAAAAGTAACCGCCTGGCATAACTGTGGGGAATGGCACGAGTGATTCAAAAGTTCCATTTTTGACTAGTTTGGCTGGATTGGTAGTGCCATCTATCAGAGCCCAGTTAAACCAAGCAAGCAGAAAATTGTTTAATGGCTGTTGTTGCTACTGTGGCTCCCGCTACTTTGACTCCTCTGCTACTAGTGTCGCTACTGTGGCTCCCGCTAGTTTCACTATTCTTCTACTAGTGTCAGTAGCCAAGCAGTAAAGGCTGGCAACGTTGGGCATGGCAACAGTGACGTGAGAAAGACTGCTTTTTCATGGCACTGTTTTTCAAATTGAAAAAAAGTTTTGCTCACGTGATCCGGGCCTCTAAAACATGAATTTATTTCAAAATGAGCACTTCTTTGGCACAAAAGTAGTACTACGGGGTTTCTCGACCGCTATTTGAACAATCAACATCGACAAAATAATTGCCTTTAGTGTTCTTTTTCCACTCCTGAAGTATCACATTTGGAATGTTTTCAGTTACTGTACTTAAAGAACAAACTTGGGACAAACTTTTGAAGATGTCAATAAATTATGCTAATTTTTGTGTTTTACATACTTCAGTAATATTCCTTTCTGAACCTTTGTAAGGCATTAAATGCTGCAATGATTCATAAATTTGTCTTGAGATACAAGTATGTGATCTTGCAATGCCTCTACTGCTACATTCTTTTCCATGACCATCGTGGCAATGTTAACCTGACTTTTTTAGTGTACACTAGCCATTGCTCGTTCACTCACTAACATTGTCTTATGGCTTTTTAATGAATCTAGCTAACACTTTTGTTAAACATATTTAATTGCCAGAATACTATAATTGTTATCGATTCAAAGCCGTGTGCTCTTTAATTACATTTTTAATTGAAACATTTGTACTGGTACACACCCTGCATTTGCGACTCAGCACCTAAAGTCTTTCTCATTTCGCCTTTATTTTTGGTTTCTCTTTGAATCCCTCATCCCCTTCCTCATTATTTGATGGCCATCTGGCTCATCTGGTTAACATCTTTGCTAATTTATATGGCTTTTTCTTTAAAGTTGGTGGGTATGATTGTGACATCATAGTTGAACATGTGAATAGATTTTGGTGAGGCGCTGTTTACAAGTACATGTTTTAGGAGTTTTGCATGTGTGCAGTGCGACCTGAAAGATTATCGTGCTTATTGTTTTTATTTTTAACCTATATTGACCTATATTGCAGAGGTGGCTAGATCCTGTAAAAAGCATCAAAAAACAGATGAAAGGTAGGTTCACATGGAAACTGCCTTTTTTCTTTTTTTCTTTTGTCTGACTAGTTTTTTTTTTCTGCATTAAAATATATGCCGTAGCACCTAGTTTGCCATATTTCAGTGCATTGAACACTTATTAAGGCTGTAATTTTTTGCGCTTTTCAGTTGGACCTCCGTACCTGCTTTACTTTCGCGTAAAGTTCTACGTTTCCGACCCGAGCAAACTTCAGGAAGAGTGGACAAGGCAAGCATCATTCATTTGTCCAAACGAACATTGACGATTTTGCTCGTTCGTAAAAAGAGAGTTGTCGTGTGGAAAATAATCGGGATTTATATGTAGAGTTTCTTGTTTCCTCATTGTCAGGTACTACTTCTTCCTTCAACTTAAGAAGGACATCCTGGAAGGGAGGTTGGTCATTCCGCCAGCCACGGCAGCTCTCCTTGCCAGCTACGCGGTTCAGTGTGAGTGCCCTTGTGACTCTTTGCTCAGGTTCGCCGTCAATGTCGAGTAGCTTGGTGGTGCTGACAAATGCTGCAATACCAGAAAAGATGTAAAAGATGTCGGGGAGCAGTGGCCTTGTTAACAAATGGGCTGAAGTCATCATTGGTTTGCAAGAACTTTTGCTTGAATGAAAAAAGATACAAAAATCGGGCTTACAATGATAATCTTTGGTAAAATACCCCATCAAATATGTGAAATATAGTATCAGGTTAGCCAAGATTGTGTTACATCCGCACTGTTTGCGCACCAGCGAAACCAGGCGCACGAGTGCATTTATTGGCATCTATACTGGCATTCGTATACGTGTAGCTGGCTGAAGGGTAGGTCAATTCTTTGAAATTGGTTCTTTGTCTATTTGTTTTGTTTGATTCTTCTATAAGTGCACCATTCATGGCCACTATTCAATGCATTGGGGGAACTTGTTATATCTAATTGGCGTGCCTGTATAATTATGTCACCTATGACTGGGTTACATCAATTGATTGATGTTTTATTGCACAAAATTTTGGTAATAAGCTAGCTATTGTGAAAGCATCGCCTAGGTTCTTCCTCGCTGTGTGCACGTGGGCTCGCCGTCTCTTCGCAGCGGTACGAACGGTATACACGGCGTGACGAGACGGACGAACGAGGCCGCGGCACCCCTGCTTTTAGCTCACAGTCTCGGACCCGCGATGGTGTATGATGGTAACACACAGAACACAGAAAACACCACATTTCTGAGTGCGCGCCCTGCCCCGACAAGAAGACGTAACCAACCGGTTGGCAGCGATGAAGAATGAAGGACAAAGGATCGCAGCTGGCCGAACGGGCCAAAACACATGCGCACCCTTGGAGATTTCGAAGTGGCCTCTCCGAACCCTGTCTCGCCCCCTTGCTTGTTGGGCAAGCGCGAGAAAGGCCTGAATCCTACCCAAATTAGGCCAATGGGACCCTGCGTAAAACTTTGAGGGGTGAGGATTTTTTGCGATATGACAGCGATTTATGACCAGCCGCCATCCGTCCATTAGGAAGGAAAGGGGTGCGTGAATTCCCACGTGTTGTTGATAGTGCACATTGAGCTATGCTAATGCTTAATTATTTTGGTATCTTTCATGAGATTACTTGTAAGCCCACTTTTATGTCACTTCATTATTGTCATATGCCTGAGAAAGATGCCAGGCAGTTCGAGATACCAGATTGATTGAAGTGTCGTGGAAGTGAGAACTGACAAGATGTGTATTTGTCACACATGCGTTTTAAAGAGGTACAGCTGATAGAACACATCATTTGAGGCAATAGGTAGTCACAATGATATTATGGCTGTGCTGTTATCACCGTAGTTATTGTTAAGAATACAACTGTGCAAAAATATGGGCATTGAGATTGGTATTTGCTTTTGCCATCGTTCTGGAAGGGACTTATCATTATTGTTATTTAGCTTAGAAGTTATAGCTTGTTTGAATAACCATAATCTACATTTAGACTCAAAGCGCTGGTTGTGGTGCGCGTGTTTAGTTATTTCATGTCTACAACTGTTGGGACCAAAGGAGTTGCTTACGTTGATTACATTTCTGTGGATGACGCTGTTTCCAGCTCCGTGTTTCACAGTGTTCCGTGATTGAGTGTGCCTATGTGTCCACCTGTGACAAAATTTACGAGTTGGTGGAACAGGGGTCATTTTTATTACTGATCGTTTTCCGGGGTACTTTATCTTTTGCAATGCGTACGACGGTCCTTTAGGAGCCACGGTGGTCTGGCAGTATGCCAATAGTGCTATGTCATCACTCGGAGATGCCAATACAACCGTCGACAATCTCGTGAAGGTGTTACCAAATGTGATCACACACCAGGGGTCGACTGTGGTGGTACTTGGTATATAAAAAGATTTGACACTCCAGGTGCTTGAAAATCTTTTCTTGCTGCTCGGGTATGAGTGAATGCACCTAGCACCGTCGCACTTTTTTGTTTTTTGTTTTGTTTTTTAAGCATAAGCATTGAAATGAAATTCTGTACTGCGAAATTTTTTTTCCATTTTTCTGGTTTTTGGTTCTTGCATTTCTCGGCAGTTACATTTATTTCTTACAATCCCTTAAAAAACATATCAGCGGGGGTTCTACTCTATTGCAGTTATAACCCATTTTCTTTTGTTATATTTATTTTTTACATTAGTGACTGATATTTGTTATTAATCATAGCAGTTTTTCAAGATCATGTCTACTGTTGTCTAGATGCCATGAAAATAATATTCGTAAATCAAATCAGCTTTCCGCTATTGTTGCTTTTATTGCTGATACTTCTAACTTTATGGTCGCACACACACTTGGGAAACCTTGTATTAATGAAATACATTTTGCCCAACACGCAGCTGAACTAGGAGACTACAATCCTGATGATCACAAGCACGGCTATCTGGCTGACATGAGATTAGTGCCCCATCAAACAGAGGAGCTCGAGGAGAAGATCGCCGAGCTCCACAAGCTGCACAAGTATGTGTTACAAACAACGTTGCCGTCTTTGGCTGTGAAAAATTTCACGAGCTTTGCAGTTGTTGCTACAAAGATGAAGTGCAAAGGCAGGTGAAGTGCTACAAAGTGAAGACTGCAAAAATACTAATATAAACAAAATGTTACCATCTGAGCTTGTTAGTATGAGAACATGTTGAGGCAAGTCAAGCACAAATACTATGGACACTCAAAGTAGTTGGACGCTAGACGAACCTTTCACTCACACGTAAAGCTAATAATGAGCTTCTAACTTTGTCTCAGTTCCTGTTAATGCTTTTTTCACATTACCTGCTTCATGTTGAATTACTAGCTGGCTTGCATCTACATGTTAGTTTTTATTCATGACCAGCAGTATTGTTAAATGGGGCAGTGGTTCTATCACTGATTTCTGCTGTGTGTGTTGGATGATTTTTGTGGTTTCTGGCAATGCTGAGATAACGAAAGTGTGGGGTTCTTATAATGCAGTCAGTGTTCAAGTTCTGTTTGTGTCGGTGTTGTTGGCTTTGGTTGTGTGTGAAAAATTCTAATGGGTGCAAATGTCAGGGTTAGAACCGGAATCCAACCCAGGTATTCTCCACGGCAGTCAGCTGCTCTATTTCGAAGCTATGTCAGTGCTTGAAATTGCTTCGGCAAAGGACACCACGCAGTCGCGTCGGGCAAGGAGTCTCATTAAAGATTTATTCTGCACGGCAGCCAAGTTATCTTTCTCTGAGCCTTTTGAGCGGTTGAAACTGCTTTGGCAGAAGACCCTGCACAGTCGTGTCGGGCAAGAGGTCACATTAGCAGAGGTAGTATTGTTTGGAAGAAACGTAAAATCCAACCAGGTACCATGACATGTGCATTACATAATGATTTGAGTGTTGAAAGCTGCCAACTCATCATAAATGGCTGAGCCATATTCACGGGTGCAGTCTGCCACTTCCTGGCGATTCCACTGGTTCAATGAGAAGCAAATTATGGCAAATTCAATGAGAAGCAAATTATAAGGTGATCCAAACAGGGCTGCATAACACTATTGCAATAACAATTTTGCTGCTGTATTGTTTTTTTTTACAGATTTCAAATATGTAATTAATTTCATAGTAAGCTGCAAAGTTTCTGTTTTGCTATTATTAGACAAACTATTTTTGTTATTAAAGGTCTATATTTATGAGCCACTAAGGGGAGATGCAATTAGGAAAAGAAGTTTAGTTATTCTGTAGCCTAGGGCAAGGAAATGTTCACTGTGGATATACAGGCTTTTATGCTGATTTCAAATATATAGTTAGTTTTATAGTGAGTTACACAGTTTAATTTTATGCCATGACAGTCTGTAACATCTAGTTGGTTTTGGACAAACTTTCTATGCCACTAAACATTTATGGTTATCAGCCATTAATGGCTCATATTGCTGTACATTAACTGTAGAATGCAAATAACTGTCAACAAAGAGTATGTAAGACGTCTTAATGGTCAAGAAAAGCTGTAATGTGAAAATGCTTAAAATCCTCAGCCCATACAAATAGTTAATTTCAGATTTGTAATTATTGTAGAGGTGGTATCAAATTTTAAAGAACATACTTGCACGCTTCACATGTTAACCCACTTTCTGCCTCTAACGGTCCGAAACTATTTTGCCAGTTTCTGGCTCCGCAAAGAAAAACATAAACTGCGAAAGAAAAACTCACAGAATATTTATTTTTGCTCTTGCATTCTGCAGGGTACTCTTTTAGTGATGTTTAGGCAGCGTTTGATACCGCTCAAAGCATTCTCCTGGGTGTAGGCCAGGGTTGTTACTGCAGGTTTTGCAGAAAAACAGAGTTTCCCTCCTGCCTCCTTTTGTTTGCCTATCGCTACAAACCGTGCTGTCCTTGCTGCTTCGCCCTTGAAGCTTGTAGATGAAGTGGCTCCTTCCTCCGAGCCTTTCTTCACAATCGTTCCGTGCAGACAGGCTCCGATTTCGGGCTCCAGCCCTCACGTCACCCACAAGCTGTTCGATGAGGTTGCGGTAGTACTGCAGGTGGCGCTGTTCGTGCTGGCCATGTATCTGCAGCTGTATGCACCTCAAAATAAAACTGTTGACAATGGAAACTTCCAGAATCCAGAAAAAAAGCTTGCGCCACCATTTTATCGTCTTGCGACAAAATGCATAGCTCGCACAGTAATGATCTGAACAGTCAACTGCACCTATCATCGTCTTATGGGAGCACGTAGTTCCCTTCTTCACAAAAGTCATCTTCACTTTCGCTAAAAGTGCCTCCATAAAAAGCACAGGGTGAACATAGTGCTGCATCCTAGCGTAAAAAAAAGTAAACATCAACAAACGAAGTTCACTCAATGCTCGAGAGATGGAGCATCATGTATTTAAAAAAATGCACGTGACTTGCAGTGAGAAAATCGTGAAATTTAAACGAGGAACACTCTCATCAGGTGCTGCCTGACAGCGGACTGCTACGGTCGTGTGACGTTGTCGGGCGCTGCCCGACAACGGACCGCACTGGGTTAAGAAATATGTAGGCAAAGTTTCATCCTAATCGGGCTATTAGAAATACTAAAAATGTGATGTCTAAACTCAAGAAGTTGCCCAAAAATGGATCTTGAAAAAGGTGTATAAGTGAGAGGTCATCTATGTGAAATATATATGTTTTTCAAGATGATTTATTTCATCATCATAGCTTTGCAGTCATGATTATTCTGAGCAAGTGACCTTAGTGAACACCTCATGCGAAATGCAGTGGCAAACAGCCAGGTAACAATTTCCAGGGAACTTCAGAAAATGAGCGCCATTTAGTTTTTAGTTGCCACCTTGAGCTCTTTGAAAGCAATTTTAACCTACTTTGAGTTTAACTGCAATCTTTCAGTTTTTTTCTCGTGAAAATAGAGAAACTATACTTGTCAAAGCAAAAAAAAAAAACCAAAAATTATTTTTGGAAAAACCCTTTTCTACTATAATCTTTCCTTAATGGCTCATATAAATCAATAAAGCAATAAGTAAATATTGCTTCATGGTTAACTGTAGAATGCAATAAATTTATTATAAGTTTTGTATAAAACATTTTAATGCTCAAGAAAAATCATATGCAAAGTCTCCAAATGTTCAAGCCATCCTAACAGCTTATTTTTTATTTGTAATAGATATATAAGAGATGTCAAGTTTTGAAGGAAATATTGGCACTTTTCACATGTTAAGCAGTATGTGGGAAAAAGTTCGTCCAAATCTGGCCATCAAAAATAAAAAAGTATGATATTCAAGTCATAAATGTTTCTGAAAATTGCATCTTTAGAAAAATGCCTTTTAAAATGATAGCTCATCTATATGTTAAGAATAAGCTTTTTTTAATTACTTCTTTCATCATGAGAGCTTGGGAATCAACATTACTTTGAAAGTATGGTTTTGGTGAACTCCTCTCGCAAAATGCAATGGTAAGCAGCCAGGTGAAATCTTTTACGGCACTTTAGACAAAGGGCTCTTTTCAGTTTTTGATGGCCACCTTGTACTCGTTAAAGGGGATTTTAACATGTGAACATGGTTCCCTCCCGACATAATGCCTGCAAAGGGTTTCTGTGCCCTGGTTTCGACTTCTGGCACGCTTTTTTGTAGAATACTGGACTGCCGCAGAGAGAATCTGGGTTTGAACATGGTTCCATTCCTGATAATTTTTGTGTTTTTTTTAGTTCTTATTTCGTGTTATAGCAGTTACAGAAAACAGTGGTGGCAGCAGACAAGTATAGCACCCTTCTTGTGATGTCATAACAGCTTTCACTGAAAAATAAAAGTTGTGTTTTCTTACTGGAAATGGGCGACACAGAAGGTGATTTGCGTAACCAGGTGTCACACAATATGAATTATGATATGAGTGGGTCGCTGAATGCTTTAACCCATTGCAAAGGGGTCAGTCATAATTATCCATTGTCATCAGCTACTGAATCAATGGAGTAGTGGTACTCGAAAGCGTACTTGTATTAGTAGCCCCAAGAGAGTTTACAATGTTTTCTAGAAATGCCACTCCTCCAGCTTTTTCTGTGGGTGTGCTGTACTTTCCGTGCAAGCCTGGCTTTTTTCCCCATGAATGTAGAAAAACTAAACTAAACACAGCCTCTTGACTATGGCACCTCCTTCTGCATAGTAAATGCCTGTAAGTTTACCCAACCTTTAATAAGACAATTTTGATTCTGAAAAACAAGTAAGAACAAAAATATGTAATTGTGAGTGAGAAAACTTGCTTCCTTCAAGTAACATTACCCCATAAACTCATTCTTCAGATTTAGCAGAGACAGTTGTACTCCAGTAGTTTACGTCTAATGTAATGAGAAAACTTGATCAAATTGGGAAATGTTTCTGCTTTAAGTTTTCATACTGTATCTAAAGAAAACTTATTGCATGTCAGACTTTTTATCCAACATTTTTTTTTGTTTTGGTCACCACATTTTCTTGTATAGTAGCCATCAAACATAAAACTAGTCTTCCAATAATTTAAGATCTGCTCTTTCCCAAAAATGGAAGGTGTCCTTCATGCTTCGTCTTTTATTCCACTGTCTGCCTCAATCACAGAATCCAATTAGGATGTGGTTGTGAACCTGGTTTGTTTTTCCCGACTTCCTATGTATTGTGAGTGCAGAGTAGTTTTATCTGCTTGGTGTGATCAGAGTCTACTGCAGCAAATAATTCATCCCAGCAGTCTATACTTTCTGGATTATGCACACGAGCATCTTGGATAGCAGCAAAATTGATTCACCAATGCATGGTCACATAGCAGTAGCATGGGAAGGTGCTTCTATGTACTGTGAAGTGTGCATAGACACATGGCGCACTTCAATCTTTTCATATCGTCGGCTTCTTCCAATTTCACGTAACATTGTTATTGCTGTTCCATACCCGTTTTCCAGTGTATAGCAGGCCCCTGTGTGCCAGAGGCCTGCTACACTGCTCTGTAGACTGGGTTTGGGACAGCTATCGGTGGAAGGTTGAGATCAATCTTCGACCTTTTCACTGTTGAAATCTCTCTCTCTTTCTATTTACCTTTCTACCTATCTATCTCTTCTTCAAATCTTCCATTTTTCGCATTTCAGAGGCCAGAATTCAGCAGACGCGGAGTTCAACTTTCTAGAGCACGCAAAGAGGTTGGACATGTATGGTGTGGATTTGCACAAGGCAAGGGTAAGGGTAAGGAACGTTTGCATGTTTGTCTTGCACGTTCTATCGGTTGCTAGTGTGCATGTGTGTGTGTGTGTGTTTGCTTCGTATGTGTTTTATTTGTTTGAAAGTGTTTTGTATGTGTTGTATGTGTAACTGTAACGTGTTGTATGTGTAACTGTAAAGTGTTGTATGTGTAACTTTTTGTAGATATAGATGGTTTCGCACTCATGCATTGCCGTGCTCAACTGAAAGAAAGTGGTTTTGTGTCTGTACATCACCCTGAATCCTCCTATATCAGACCCTTTGTTAAAAGATTGGTCTTCTTGTATTGATGAAAGGCATGATAAACATTGACTATGAGTGGGCAAGTTTGCTGCATGAAGCACAGCATTTGTGTTATTGAGAATGGAATGTGTTTGTTTTGAAGTGTTTGAGAGAAAGCAGAGAAATATATTAAACTCATATAGCTTAAAATGCACTGTTCTGTTTACTAGATGCTCAATGTTGAGAAAATGCCATTGCACATTTCACTTTTTTTTGTTTATTATAGTTTGAAATTTTTGTGTGCTCTCTTCATTAGGAAGATTCATTATGATCGGCATAAATTTTTGCTATCTTATAGTTAGTAACATATATAACATCATTTTATCACACTTGCATGTGCTTAAATACTTCAATTTTCATTTTGCTGCAGCACAAGGCTTACAGTCATCGATGTAGGGCTCATTGTTCGCAAAGAACATTGCCTTCTCTTAAATTTAAGATGCCTACTACGAATAGCAGAAAGGTCATTGTTTGCGATACTTTGATATGAACCTCCTGCATGCTTCACCGTCGTCATATAAAGGTCATTGTATGCGAAGTATTTTGCGTCGCCGTAGGGGGCTGTATGTATGACAAGCTGTAGAGCCTCATGAATAAGGTCAAAGTTGAAGCGCACTATAGGCATGAATCATAGCTGTGACATTCGTTAAATTGACATTTTCTCATCCTTAGCCCATAGCATCGAACAGCATTTGCGAGTCAAGAGAGTTCAGTGAACTTTGGACTAAACTCATGTGAGGTGCTGAGGGCTCAGAATGAATGCACTGATGTGTTATCATAATAAAGAGACAAGTCACTGCCCTTTTAGTAGTTTGAAATAAGAAAAAGAAATAAATTAAGAAAGTTTTATCTAAGTATTAACGAGGTTCGAACCTCGGCCCTCTCCTTGGCCGCCCAGTATTCTACCACAGAGCCATGCTGGTGCTCAGAACTACTTCGCAAAAAGACCGTACAGGCATTATGTGAGGAAAAAAACATTTTAACATGTGTAATATAGTGTGGTAGAAGAGTAAAATAACAACCAGGCTTCAAACGGTGCAACTTAAGTAACGAGGCATCACACGGTACGAATTATATAGCAAGTGCATTGTTGACTGCTTCCAACCCATTGCAAAGGGCTTGGCCACAATTCTTTATCGTCATCAGCCACCTGTATCAACTAAGTGCACATAATGCCTTACAGATGTGTGAAAGTTACCTCGCGTCTCCGCAGAACAATCAATAATGGCATAGTGCATGCTTTCCAGCTCGACAAAAGTTATGGCTTACAGCTTAGTGGCTACCATGCGAGTGTACTTGTATTATAGCCCCAAGTGAGCTTACATTGAGTTATGGAAATGCCACTCTTCCAGCTTTCACTGTGACTGTGCTGCGCTTTTCATGCAGGCCTAGGGTTTTTCTTCCATATTGCTTTTTAGGCAGTAGTACATATGTACAAAGCTCAGTATGGGCGAATAAGTAATGGACTTCTTGCATGTGAATTGAATTTGTTAGTTGGTCATAAAAGCTCTTGGGATATATACAGTCGGTCACAGATATATCTAACTTGAAGGGGATCGCGAAATAGTTAAATATATCGATAACTTGAAATACAAAATATGTGTATTTGAGGCCTAAGCTAAAGCATTTCAGGCCTCGGAAATCATTACAAGCGCTAACATAACAATTCACTCGCAGTATAATGAAGAACAAGGTGTGAACTGCAAGTTACTGCACTTTATTCCGTAGAAAAATAGTCCCTAAACTTGTCTTGCTTCTTGCGTGCCGTCAAGTTCCAGTCATCCCCAATATCACTGAAGCTTTTCAAATAAGCGAATTCAGATCCCTTGGCAACAACAGCGTTGATAGATGCAGAATGCCGATGCAAGCTTTGTGGCACGGTAAAAGATTGGTTAGCAGTGGCAGCAAAGAGGTTGGCATATTCATAATAATGGCAACGGCAGCCATGATCTCAGAGTTGATTCAGTTCGAAACAGCTACGTTGTCATCTGGACCGATGAAGTCGCTCACTGCCCAAGATTGTGTTCATAAACACTGATAAGTAGCAGAATCCAGTGAGGCACCGTGCACCGTTGTCAGCAGTCATGATGCACCCGAACCTGGCCCGCAAGGAAAGTTTACTATAGTGCTTTACTTGGCGTCGCTCCAAGCGCCAATTATAATTTTTATCGCCACATGCAGGTCAATGTCCTTTTCAACTCTTGAATAACAATTTACCAGGAACGAGGTGAGAAGTACATAAGTCCACAAGGCACAAAAGACAACGCCGAGCCGTGACGCTGAGTCAGAGCAGGGGCCGAGTTCCCACCATCGACATGTTGACGATATCGATGTTACTTGTGGATTTGTAGTTAGCAGCCGCTGCTTTCAGCAGCTTTGATGCGAAAAGTTAGAAAAAGTGTAGCCTCTGAGACATGCGCTTTGAAACCGAAAACAGTAAAAATATGTCTCGACATTGCACATCACGAATGCCATGTTTTTCAGACTCGTATGCCGGTGTGCCCTAACATACAAGGAAGGGAATGGAAACATTGCAACGAGATCGCCGAGCAACTTCGTATTCTCGTTTTGGTTTCCTCGGCAATCCGTCTTCTGATTGGTGCCCATGCACACTTATGATTGGTGCCTGTGTGTTGAGACCTATAGATCATGCATCAAGCATACAGGTGCACTCACAAACTTGGCGCTGTTAAGTTTGGTCTGGAAATTCGTCTGGGCAGACGTCATGGTGCGTAAGCCGGTTCTATGGAAAGGCTCTCAATCCCTTCGGCGCCCAGTCTGACAGACGCTGTCGAAGATTTGAGCAATTATCCAGACTATGCGGCAAGCAAAGGCGAGTTCCCGTCTTTCGTTGCGGACCCTTTTGTCGTCTCTTCGAGCAGAAGCGGTGACTGATGCCCTCAGCGACTCATCAGGCGACGGAGGAAGCTGGCGTGACCGGCGCCAGAGCTGACAGGAGAGTGGCGCTCCTTTTAATCCCCAATCAAGTAGACGACCGGCCGGCTGCCTGTGCCCGCCAGGCATTGTCCCTGCTAGCCGGAGGATAAGACGTCGTGTCGCCACGACGCCACGACGAGGGAGGACAACAAAGAAAGCATCTTCCTGGAAGAGACCGCGGCGGCCATTGCAGATCGCCCCGCTAATTGGGCGAGCTGTGCGGCAGACCCTTTGATGTACGTTGTCAGGATCGTGGGAACTCTCGACTAGCGGCAGACACACGACGAGAAAGAGCCCTGCTGGCACCACCTTGCAGTGCAGTGTTCACGTGGACCGTGCATGCTCGGCCCCCTCACCTGTGTGTGTGTGATTGGTGTTCCACTCGGAGAGGAGGAGCCCGACAGGGCTTAAAACGACGCCGCAGAGTGCTGGACGTCACTCTGAACTATGTAACGTTCAACCACCACGCTCGTGGTTTGTGAAACCACTAACTTTTCCTTTCTGTAAATATGTGTAAATAGTGCCATAAACCTGTTTGTTCTCGTATCCTCCAGCGTCCTTCCTTCCGACCCTTAACAACTGGTGGCAGCGGTGGGATGCCATCAGCGACCTTCTTTCCCATCCCTAACAACTGGTTGGCAGTGGTGAAATGAACTTCACGATGGGGTGCTGTGCTGTGGTGAGTACTTGGTCTTTGCTATAACTTTCCAGGCTTCATTTCTTGAGTGTGCGTTGATTAGAAGCTGGATTGTGTGTGAGTTAGGGAGATTACCTATTTGTGTGTTAGAGGGATCCCCTACATTTGTGTGAGATGCAAGACCAAAGTACAACGGCAATCATGGAGGTGAAGACACTGCTAAAAGATGGTCTTTTGTACATTTGTGAAGACCTTGGTATTAAGATTAAGGAAGGAATGGGCAGGTCAGAAATTTTAGAGCTAATTTTGGAAAGCGCCAGTGAGGTGGATATTGGATACGCGTTAAAAGCTTTAAAAAGGTTGGAGGAACGGAAGTGAGAGAAACAAGAAAGAGAGGAACAGGAACGAGAGGAATGGAAACGAGAGGAACGCGAAAGAGAGGCACAAGAAAGGGATACAAAAGAGCGTGATCGAGCACGCGCCTTGGTGCTCGAACAATTGGAACAGAAAATCGAGGCAACGAGGCGGAAAATTCAGCCATCTGCAACTGTAGCGCACGAGAAGTGCGATAATCAAGTGAGTGAGGTGCAGTCCAGAGCTATAGAGAAGGCTAGCTTGTGTGAAGAGCGCAGCAGGTTCGAAGATGAACCAATTGCGAGAGCTGTGAAAGATGCTACTCCAATGAGAGAGGCCACTAAAGGTCAGAGCGAGTGCGACGAGGTGCTGTGCCAGTTAACTGTTAGCGAAACAGCCAAGATAGCGGTAGAAAAGCTGGTACAGACCTCAACTGTGTTTGTCGCAACGGTGGATCTTGCAAATGAGGTAGAAGTCAAGAACACCGGAAAAAGCTCAGGAGAAGCAGCCAAAGTAGAGAGTGAGGGCAACAACGCGGTTGCAGATAGCTCCCAGAAATGCCAGAGAGATGGTTCAAAGAGCTGCATTGTTCCTTTTTGTGTTAGCCTGTCCGCCAGGGCAGTGTGTGAACAGAAATATGATTCGGTCGAAAATCATTTAGACTGCGTGGATGAGACAGCAGACAAGAGCTGTGAGAGTGTTCACGAGTGTGAGATGCGATCGGGAGACTCGGAAACGAGACGCGAAAAGTGGCGCAGACGAAAAAAACGTCGAAAAGCCGCGAGAGAGACGAACAATACTACGCGTATAAAAGAAGGCACAAAATCTTTTAGCATAGCAGGCAAAACGAGGCGTTTCGCATCGGCGTCAAAGCCGGTTTGCATGCGTGCGAGGAGCCGGACCAAAGGTAGCAATCAGCCGGGTGAACGACGGAAGAGTGGGTTATCGGCCAGTTCGCCGGGGAGGCCTTTGTATTGTGCAGCAAAACGCCAGCGGCGAAGTGGTAGGCCACAGCGCGCATCCTCGAGACAGAATTCGCGGAAGAGGTTTAAGACTTTATGCGGACAGGGGTATCGAAGGGGTCCTACAAGAAAAGCCACAGTAGCTAAACGCCGCACGGGAGGGAGCCCAAAGAGGACATCGCCACTCTTTCCCACGCGTTGCTCGAATCCCCTCCGCCGGGCTGACCGAAGCCCGCCGAAATCGCGAATGAGGCGTAACGCTGCTGTTCAGCTGGCAGCACGTGCTCCATGTAGTCTCGGGCGTTCGGAAAATTCGCCAAGACCGCGACCGCCGCGTGTGCGATTGAAGTGAGGGATAACTATAAGCTGGAGAGTTGGACAAAGTAAGTCTTCTTAGAAGCATGTTTGTTTGCTTATTTTTGATTTTAAAGTGGAATTCCTTTGTCATCTCCCCGGCTAGTTCGTGTAGCGGCAGTTTTTTCGCGTCTAGATTTTTTAAAAGGCGTTGTAAGTGTTTTAGTTGAGTTGTTATGCGGAAGCAGTGGCGTGAAATCAGTTTTCTTCGAAATAAAAGCATGTAGGTATGGGATGCAGATTTGGTACGCCCGCTAAATTTGAATGGGTGGTGGCTATAGGTCACCGTGATATGACCTACGATTAGGGGTGTGTTAGTATGCTACCGTTCTTTGAATGAGAGTATGATGTCGTGCTAGGGCGCACAGCATAGTTCTGTGCGTTCTTTAAAAACATGGGCTGGCATGAGGCTACATTCAGTTAACGAGCGTGCTAGTATGTGAGGGTAATTTGCTTTTGTTGTTTTAGTGAGTGCTCATAGTTCAAGTGATCTCTTGAGCTGATGAGAGTAGCGTTCGCCGAACTAGAGGCTAGACATATGTTTCTAAGAATTTTAGGACGCAGTTTGATCTGCTGTGAGTGAGTTTTCATTGGCGTCAGGGTGTCCTACAAGTAGGCACTCACGACTACGTTAAGTATTGAGAGAATGAAAAATGCGCACAGATACCTTGTGTATAGGGTCTGGCAGCTTTCGTGTAAAAACCATGTAGTGTGTTGTGTTTAATTAAATTAGTGATAAGTCAGCGAATTTCAGTTACAACTTAGTAGTGCGGGTGGTAGGAGAAAGCTAGTTTTGTAAAGAAGAGGATTATGGTTATTTGGGGCCAAATTGTATTTGCCTTTGTGTGCTTTTCTCACACCGCAATTTGTTCCATCTTTGGTAAGCATCTCGACACCCATGATTGTTGTACCTTTGGCGGCACCAAATTGTCTCAAAATTTTAGCATACAGGTTTTCCTTTTTGTGTTGAGAAGCCTGGAGGGTTTTAAGCGGGTCCAACGTGCTTGACTTCGGCGTGGTATTGTGTTGTGTGGTTCGGCTTGCTGTTGTCAATCATTGTGAGCTGGTTTCGGAGTTGGTTTCGAGTTCGCAGCTGGAGGGAGAAAGCCAGGCCATCGTGCTCATCACCAACCATTCTCTTCGTGCCCAGCGGTTGGGAGCGCTGGCCAGCCGAGATTTTCCGGGCGGCAGAGGAGCTGTTGAGTTTGGCCTGGAAATTCGTCTGGGCAGACGCCATGGTGCGTAAGCCGGTCCTATGGAAAGGCTCTCAATCTCTTCGGCGCCCAGTCTGACAGACGCTGTCGAAGATTTGAGCAATTATCCAGACCATTCGGCAAGCAAAGGCGAGTTCCCGTCTTTCGTTGCGGACCCTTTTGTCGTCTCTTCGAGCAGAAGCGGTGACTGATGCCCTCAGCGACTCATCGAGCGACGGAGGAAGCTGGCGTGACCGGCGCCAAAGCTAACAGGAGAGTGGCGCTCCTTTTAATCCCCAATCAAGTAGACGACCGGCCGGCTGCCTGTGCCCGCCAGGCATTGTCCCTGCTAGCCGGAGGATGAGACGTCGTGTCGCCACGACGCCACAACGAGGAAGGACAACAAAGAAAGCATCTTCCTGGAAGAGACCGCGGCGGCCACCGCAGATCGCCCCGCTAATTGGGGGAGCTGTGCGGCAGACCCTTTGATGTACGTTGTCAGGATCGTGGGAACTCTCGACTAGTGGCACACACACGACGAGGAAGAGCCCTGCTGGTGCCACCTTGCAGTGCAGTGTTCACGTGGACCGTGCATGCTCGGCCCCCTCACCTGTGTGTGTGTGATTGGTGTTCCACTCGGAGAGGAGGAGCCCGACAGGGCTAAAAACGATGCCGCAGAGTGCGGGACGTCGCTCTGAACTATGTAACGTTCAACCACCGAACCTGGCCTGCAAGGACAGTTTACTATAGTGCTTTACTTGACGTCGCTCCAAGCGCCAATTATAATTTTTATCGCCACATGCAGGTCAATGTCCTGTTCAACTCTTGAATGACGATTTACCAGGAACGAGGCGAGAAGTACATAAGTCCACAAGGCACAAAAGACAACGCCGAGCAGTGACGCTGAGTCAGAGCAGGGGCCGAGTTCCCACCATCGACATGTTGGCGATATCGATGTTACTTGTGGATTTGTAGTTAGCAGCCGCTGCTTTCAGCAGCTTTGATGCGAAAAGTTAGAAAAAGTGTAGCCTCTGAGACATGCGCTTTGAAACCGAAAACAGTAAAAATATGTCTAGACATTGCACATCACGAATGCCATGTTTTTCAGGCTCGTATGCCGGTGTGCCCTAACATACAAGGAAGGGAATGGAAACATTGCAACGAGATCGCCGAGTCACTTCGCATTCTCGTTTTGGTGTCCTCGGCAATCTGTCTTCTGATTGGTGCCCATGCACAAATGCACTTATGATTGGTGCCTGTGTGTTGAGACCTATAGATCATGCATCAAGCATACAGGTGCACTCACAAACTTGGCGCGAAGAACCAGATCAGCGTGATAGAATAACACTGCCTTTTCATAATTTGCGCACGAAAAAGGATCGGAACTTGTTAGAACGCGGCCAAAAATTGATGAACATTTGCGTGGAAAAATGCACTTTCTGGGCTGCAGCATGACGCGGTGTTCGATATAGCGGATGTCCCGCTGTGGGGGAGTTCGATATATGAGTGGACTGGTCCTATACTTTTGCATGGGAAATTCAAGGAGTTTTCTTATCTGTTCGATATAGCCAATAATTCGATATATATGAGTTTGATATATCCGGGATTGACTGTATAATCAATATCAGAAAACATTACTCTCGTGTCAAATGGGACTTTATTGTGTTGAGACTTTGCTAAAGGGCTCTCATGTTGAAATGCGGCAATTTAGGGCTAAGTAATGCACCCACTTTTGTTACCACGATTTTCTGTTCTTGTTATATTGGTGCGATCTCTGCTTGAGCACTTCTCATCAGAGCCAACATTACCTATATTTGCCAGATTCATAGTGAGATGACATGGTTATCCGGAGCAATAGCACGTACCTTTGTTTATAATCAATGTCTTGATGTCCTGTTTCCAAGCTTCGTGTGCTATAAATCCGTCTAATGACCTGATTTAATTGAACCGAGATTTTGTGTTAAACATTGTATAAGCTGCCATTTACTCTCGCATCTCTTGCTTTCTCAAGAATTTTGAGTTTGCCACTTGTGCCATTTGGACAATGAAGTAATGTACCATAGAAAAGTTCAGTGTGAACTGTGTGTGCGGTGCGTGTTTTACAGGCATCTGTATCTATGTTAATACGCTGCAGCTTGAAACTGCATGCTAACATTTTTGCAGTGCACGTTTTTTTACAATATGATTGCCATAGCTTTCATGAAGTACAGACGAATGTTCGTCTTTCGCATATTTTTTAATTTTATGAATTTCTAGCTGTCTTGTTGTTATGAGGCAGTGAGTAAGAGCACGCTGTTGAAGACCATACCCCTTCTAGACGCCGCAGGTCTTCTGAACAAACTGCTAAACAGAAATCTGTTTTTCACCTCACATTTTAACCCTATTATCATAATCACCCAGTGTCTGGCGCATCATAGCCATTGTTGCTTTTGCGCCATAAAACCCAACGCAACTAACATACCCCGATGAAAAGACATAGGAGAAGATTGCATGCTATGCAAGATGCTGTCAGCCATTTTTGCAGCACAGCTCCTTGCAGATGTTGTAATATACTCATTTCTGTCTCTCCGGCGCACTTGTGATGCCCATGACAGTATTCATTGCACAAGAGCAAAAGCTACGAGCCAACTACCCAGCAATCAATGTTATATGTGTTCGTGCATTTAGTGAACATCTGGCTTGGCATATTAAACATTCACAAGGTTTCCAATTTGCGTGTTGTCTAGCTCTCATAATTTCTTACTGTGCTAAAAGTTACGAGCTGTGTAATTTTTTTTTCATTTATTCTACTTGCAGGACTCTACACAAGCTGAGATTCAGCTTGGCGTGACGTCCTATGGTCTCGTGGTATTTCAAAACAATATACGAATCAACACCTTCTCATGGTAAGCCGCTTGGATCCCTATTCGTGATTAGCTGTAAATCAGTTTTCTTACTTTTGTGAAAGGGTATTCATTCAGTTACCATTCGTATTCTACCCTAGGGCGAAGATAGTGAAGATCTCGTTCAAGAGAAAGCAGTTCTTCATTCAATTGAGAAGAGAAGGAGTAAGTACTCTGTAGCTTTTTTTTTTCATTTTTGGTTATTGAAAAATACATGCCACTTTAAAAGTATTGGACTTTTGCTTTGCATCTATCATTTGCATATATTTACACAGAAATTCTTTATCTCCGAATCCTGATGTGGCCCATCCTGAAAAATTAAACATAGGAAGGAAGAAGAGACACATTCGAGATAGACACTTTCTATCTACTAGTTTTATTTACGAAAAATTCGAACTTCTTATTCGTACAGAGCTGTACAAGGTACTTAAACTCATCCCCGCACAGTGTGAAACACGTGAAATGTATGCCGATGTGTTCAAGTACCCTCCACAGCTCTGTTCAGATAAGAAGTTTGAGTTTTCCATTAGTAAAACTAGTTGTTAGAAAGCGCCTGTCCTGTGTGTATTTCTTTTATATGTCCCTACATGTGGTTTTTTTCTTTTTCGCACTTAAGGATAATTTGTTCACGAAACAGTGTTTTCCAATGTACACTGGTCAGCATCGTCTGGCGTGAAATGTCAGCAACTTAACAGTTGAGTACACTGTGTTAGATGTACAGAAAGGTGCAAACATCAGCAGTGTCTCTTTGAAATTTGAACCAAATTGTTCATCGGAAAGATTCTAGCAGCGAAGAAGGCGAGGTGATGTAAAACCAAATGACAAAAGTTTCATGTGTTGTTTTTAGTGTTGCCTTGTGTTGCTTTGCATAAGCACCACACTTCGAAAAACACCAGAATATGCAGCTCGCGTAAGCTTGCAAGAGAGAGGGATAGCTGTAAGCAACAGTTCACCTGCCTCCTTTTATATTTTCTGTTCTATCTGGAGCTTTCTGTCTTCACGGCTGCCACAACAGCAGTGCTCATTCGGACTTGTCCAAAGAGTTCAGCCGGAGCAACGCCTTAAGAGCTTGCCGTCAGTTGCCTAGAAAGCGAGTGTTCACAGGAGAGCTCGAAACACTCACAAACACTTCTAACCGACTCGCAATCGGCTCACACAGCTAGCAGATTAATTCACTCTGATTAATTCGCTCTATGTTTAAGCACTTGCATTGCGTTCGTTTTCACCATGGCCACACAAAGTGAGCTGTGGCATTGTGCTTTCATACTTTAATATACTGTGGTGCACTTGGATACAAGGGGCACTTTTATTCAGATTATTCATTGCTCTTAGTATATGTATGGTAAAGAAAGATGTTGCTGTATATGTATGAGGACAAGCACAGTTCAGTGATATATTTCTATGCACTTGAGCAAAAGGTGCCATTAGAATGTCAATGTGCACTGAACGAGTGAGTCTGTTGCGGTGGCACAAGTCTTGGGAAAAGAGAATGTATTGTTGAAAGCTGACGCTAAGATGAAGCAATGCAATTAAAGAGCTTATTAAGGGGGCTTTTACCTATCGGTTACATGGGGTGATAGTTATTAAACAGCTCTGTAAAGGACCTTAATCTTAAACTATACTTAAGTTAGCTTCTATAGCTGCTGCTGTTGGTGATAATTTTAATAATAGTAATAGAAATTATTCTTATTTTATACTTGAATTGGCTCTACTTCTGTATTCACTCCCATGATGGTGCACTGTGTTAATATGGTTGGTTGTCGTGTTCCCCAATAGAGCAGGCAACCGCAGCTCGAGCAGGTGTAACAGTAGCTTGAGAACACTTGGGCTCCACTTTTAAGAATAGAGTGCAATGGTGTGTTCAGGCTTCATTCACATCGTCTTTTCGTTCATTTGCCAGGGTTTGCTTCTCAGTGGATGCCTCAATTGTTTCAAGGCGAAAGAAACATCTGTGCACCTAACAATGGCTGTCAACAATGGAATCTTTTGAGAATGCATGCTGAATTCAAGTGCCTACTATGCCGTAATTCATCATATACTTCGTATCAGTGAAGTACACACTACGCATTCATAGGGCAGCATGTGCAGTTGCATACTCTGTTGAAGCTGCTACTTATGGTAATGATTCTATTATGCTTGACCACTTTTGAAAGATTGGGCCTTTAAACCACCCACACATTGTGCTGTTCACGTGGTGGGATGCCTGGTGCAATTCTAATCTTCTTTCACTATGTGACGCCTTTGTGTGGTCATTTCTCGAAGCAGTTTTGAGCACTAGCGTCGCTTTGTGGTAAAACATCTGAGCACCACACGGAAGGCCTGCATTCAACACTCAATAAAACCCAAAAACTTTTTTATATATATTTACATCTGTTTAACTTATGCAAAACACCAAATTTTTCACTCCCTAACCAAGAACACCTTTGGTGACAGTGAAATTTCTTAGACCTGGGCTCTTTAAGTGCTGTTTCGTCAAAACAATCTGCAATCGCACTAATGTTAAATTTCAATACATTAGATCTCTCTTGATCTAGTCTTTGACAGCCGACTGCTTCCGGAGCAAAATACTCTGTCACCTTTGGGATATTTATTCAGCCCTAGCTACCTTCTTTGAAACCTTTCTCTAAGTTTTCTTGCGTAAAGCATATGCGAAGGAGAGGGAAATACCAACTGTTTTTCCTTTGCGTCCCGTCTTACGCAGACTGAAAGCTACGACAATCTCCTCGGGTTCAACATGCTGAGCTACAGGTCGTGCAAGAACCTCTGGAAATCGTGTGTGGAGCACCACACTTTTTTTCGCCTGAACCTGCCCCGTCCAACCACCAAGCGGTTTCTCTTCAGCCTCGGTTCCAAATTCAGATACAGGTATACCATCGCTGACAAGTGTTTTCACATTCTTGGTGGTGGCAAGCATGCTTGTAGTTTTACATGATCAATGTTTGTCTTTATGCGTCTTCTAAACGAAGCTACAATTCCATGCCACTGCGAATGAGAGTTCAAAAGGTGCGTTTTTGTTGTGACTTTCAAGACTGTTGTGGACAGTCCCATCTGGTACGCATGTGTGTTATTCATTTGTTTTTATTTTTGGTGGTAACACCAGTCACACAGTCACATACTATATTTACTCGCGTAATGAATGTACTTTTTTTCTGGAAAAATCAGAGCGAAGTTGGGGGGGGGGGGGAGTGCATTTATTACGCGGGGTAAATTTTATGAAATCTTTTTCGGAAGAAGGAAGAAATGCGGTAATGCAAAAAAAAAAAAGTTAGGCCGCTTAGCCTTTCACAATTTACATACGTGTACACTGTATGGAAACAACGTCTTTGTTGCACTTTACTCGTCTTTGGTGGTTGATGGCGCTATCTTCTGCAAGCTGTCCCCGAGCCTCCCGCGCACGCAATAAAAAACGCTTTACAACTATCTTTTTTCGCAATCGTTACCTCAACAGTGGTATCTGCTGTGATAACGAAGGGTGCCCAAAAGCGCCCAAAAGCGCGCACCCATGGTGGAACGGAGAATGATGGGAAAGTTAGGGTGAAGGAAAAAGAAAGTAGGCTAAAAAAATTGGCCCCGTATCTGCACGTAATCTGCAAATGTCGTCGAAAGACGATAGTCTTGCATGTGGAGAGAGTGAACAAGACATTTATTTGATGTTCTGTGCAAGAAAATCGGTGAATGTTATTCTGGAGGTGCTGCGTTATAGAGCCTCGAGCGTGCAGTGGAGGCGAACAATCGCATCAAGTTACGTCACACGTAAGACATAAGCGCCATCTGGCAGTTGTCTTAGAAAACAAAACGCGTGGCTCTGAGACAGGTGTGCGCGTCCATCTCTGAGGTGTTAAGGTGTACAACGCAAGGCGACAGGTAGGTGCCACCACCGTTTCGTTTTAGCAAAGCGTTGGAAACACTCGCCTTTCCGTGCAAGCGTTGCATGGTCAGCGCAGCGTGATAAGCGCTACAGTCCTTAAAGTTACTTATGTATGCCTTTTCTAGGAAGAGACGCACACGCAGAATATATACGTGTTGTTATGGTGCCCCAGACATGCGCAATAATTGCTTTTTAATTGACAGTTGTACAAGCATGAACGCCCAACCTTGAGCAACACAGGTGGGCGCTGCAGATGGGGTCGGCAGTTTCAAGTACCCGATGCCGGTAAGAGTGGACAAACAGACAATTATACAGACAGACAGACCAAAAATTTTGCGTTGAAATTCTCCAAGAAAGATCTCTAAAAGAAGGGGGGAGGGGGGTTCCCTGGAAGCGTACAATTAAGACGGGGGACATGCAGTGCACAGACAGAAAGAAAAGCAATAGGCACGCGGCAACCGGCGAAGGGGGAAGGCGAGCTGAGGTGGTTGAGGGGTGTCGGAAAAGTAATAAAAAAATGGGAGAGAGCCACCGGGTGAAGAGGCGACAGGCGTTGGTTAGCGTAACTGCAGCGGATGTATGTAGGGGATGCGTTTATTACGCGGGGAAAAAAAAATCAAAATTTTGATGACTGAAATTGGAGGTGCGTTTATTATGCAAATGCGTTCATTACGCGAGTAAATACGGTATTCATGACAGCATGTAGCATGTTTATAGGTCTCAGGAGCTGGAAAATCCTCTGTCAGGCATTGACACTGCAAACAATACCAAAATTAGATAGCATGGTATCATCATTGGCATTATAACATGGCGTTGTTTGGTGAAACGTGCTGCAGAAGCTACAGAAAGCTTTTGGGTATGGGCACGATTGACTGAGTATGTCACAACTAGTGAATCTTATGAGAGCACACACTTTAACCTTTTCTCGTGGCGTAAGGACTGGCCTTTGCTGTTCTTGGGACTTAAATGTCTAAGTGTGGTTAAAATTTTGCTATAGGGGTAAAGCAATTAATGGGGTAACAATGCATTGGAATATTGTACAAAGTGAGGTTATGGGCGAACTCCTTTAGCATATGATCTGGCATAACTCAACAGAATGCTAGTGTGAGAAAGTGTGGTCACTGCAGTGGGCAAAGCGACCGTCAAGCTTTCTGTTGCATCTACCGAAAATGAGCGGTGAGAAAACAGGCTGAGAGTCATCCGCCGATCCCAGTCAAGATATGGTGTGAGACGCGGTTTCCACCAGAGCCACAGAGCTTCTCCCAAACAATTTGGACTTTCTGCTGCGATTGTGGGTCCTAAACAGCATTATTCGAAGCCACCACCACTGCCTGGTTGGTTATATCGCAGCCTAGCACTTATCCCAAGCACATATCTGCTATTAGCCATAGCAGTTTTTAAAGGCCAAGCATGCCAACAATTAAACCTTTGTTGTAACAAATCCCTGTAGCAGTTTTCATAGTGTGTAATCTGTTCATTGACCTGATCACTTAAGTCGTAGTCATTTTTTAAATGCTTACCAGTCACTATGTGCCACAAGTATGCTGGTGCACAACACTTGACCGCACCCCTCAACATTTAGTGTGCTAACACCCCAGCGTTCCACAAAGGACGGGTCATCTTTTTGGTAAGGGCAGATGTCAGTGAACCAATCAATCTAAGTTTGAATTCAATTCATACTGATAGCCATATTGGGTAGGACGACAGATGCTGACGAAGGCACCTGTGTTGGCCTTTGACCAACAACCATTTCACAATAAGCATCTCGAACACTGCTTTCAGCATGCGTGTGATATAATTAGTTTAAGCGTGCTGCACACCTTTCATAATCAAAATAACTCAAATTCCCTGTGCTGCCATGCGCTGCTGCTTTTTTTCTGTGTGCATTGGTCACAGAAACGAAAGCAGTTCATCATGCCTATCCATGATCAGTTTCATGATCCCCTGCCAACTAGCTTCACTTGATTGGCGCTCCCTTAGCAAGCGCACATGTACGATGCAACAAGCATCTTTGCATTGTCACAGTGTGAGTTTAGTTTGCAGCTACTGCGCACAAATAGCTAGAAATTATTGACTTCATTTGCTCCGTGCAGAGCGGCTGCTGTGATTTAGTGAAGCGGGGACAGTTTCCAGTTGACATCATGACACTGTACAAATGGACATGCGTGTATTGGAGTACACGCAGTTATGTGTTGTCTGCCAGCATGTCAGCCATTGCATTTTCTAACGAAGTTTCAGCGAGCTATTTGGCACCACTGTCGTGTGTTATACACCTTTGGTGTAAACTGGAGCTTTTTTCCTGTACTTTTCAGGCTGTTCCTTTTACACAATTGACTATGGAACGAAATTTATTTTTTTGTTGGTGATAATGGCGATGCAGGTCACAAGGCACCAGTTTATAGTTGACGCTCAGTGTGCAGTAGTAGTAAACAACTTTATTAAGGGGGCAGACTGGTCTTAGACATATTTTTGTTTATCTCTTCGGTGATTTTGATTAAACTGCACAGGATTATAAAGTTTTTTCTGCTGATTTCAAATGTCTAATTACTTTTCCTGTAACTCATCTTGTTCCTGAGATAACTTAAGTTTACCCCCTACTGTTTACGGCCACCATAGAAAAATAAGTGGTTAATAAGTGATATTTAAGGTATGCCGACATTGACTAATGGCCATAGATTGAAAGTATGCAAGAGTTTCTTTGTTTTTAGGCCTTTCTTGATTATTTTACAGCAAAATTAACTATCAATCTTCAAAAGCAGTTTGAATTGTGTTACAATTTTAATGAGTAATTAATTAAAAAGGCTTATGTTCTGAATTCTGCCCCATACTTTAATTCCACATAGGTACATACAGGTTTTCATTGCAAAAAGAATTATTGTTGCACCTGCCCTAGCTGTAGAAATATTGAGGCCTCAAAATTGAACAGTCGTAAATTGACTTTTTTGAGAAAATGGAAACAAGCCTGAAAACACACAGCTTCTTCAAAAAGCAACAATCAGAGTGCGCATGTTTTGCAATCCTCATAAAGGTGTTCATAAATTGGTAGTATAGCCTCGGACACAGGTGCTGGCAAATTATAAAGAAGCCTCGAAGCCAGTTCCTCATTTTTTTGCAGGTTCTGCATGTTAGCAGCACCGAGAATCTGGACAGTTAGAATAACATTACAAAAATATTACCACTTCCCGGTGTGTGAAAATTTGCACAGAGATAGAAAAATACTTGCAGAAACCAAATATGTCAATTTTAAAAAATGAATTTTTTTGTCGCTTTTTGGTCCTAAAGACCAGTCTGCCCCCTTAAGGCATCTGGCAGTTTTCTAAGTGGCGAGGGCTGTCAGGCCATGCCTGGTCGCCACCTCGTCTCAGTGTGCTGTGAAGATGAAAAGATACTGAGTGCAAGAAAAGAACACAACACTTTAAGAAAGAAATGTAAATTTTAGGGCTTGTTTTCTTTCTTAGACACAATACTAATGAGCACTAACAGACAATGATGCCAAGATAAGTATAAGAGATGTTATTAGGAGTAATTGTAATGTAAATGTGAAAAAAGAAAAGTGGATGAAAAGATAACTTGCCACCGGCAGAATCTGAATCTGAGACCTTTGCAAAACGCGTCTGATGCTCTACGACTGAGCTATACGCAGTGGCGCTCATCCCTTTATCCAATTTATAGGGTATATGTGTGCATTTAAAGGGGCCCTGCAACATTTTTCGACCATGGTCAGAAACACTGCCGATCGGTTGTCGAGGCCTTTCGAAAACATGCGAGCCAAATATAATAGCGCAGCATGTGGTTTGGAATTTACTAGGCATTCTCAAAGTCAGCTGAAAATTGCTTTCTCTTCTCTCCACAAATGATGCTACAAGCTTAAAAATCGCTTATCGCAGTCATTGTATCAGCGATGGGCTGATTTGAACATAGCACGCTTAGTCGTTACAGGGGCCCGCCGCGAGAGGCTGCGTCTTGTCCATGGGTGCACACGCGATCACAATCAAAAGCCGCATGTTCGAAGCAAAAAAAAATAGTGAGAGAAAAAGTGCGCAAGGTTTGAGGCGCACGTGACACATATTCTTTTCCTGTGCAATCCCTCCCTGCTTAGCTTCCAGAACTTTTGTTGGGACAAGAGAAAAGAAAATGCTATCCCAGTGTGTAACAAATCTTTGTAACTCCGGTCATACTAGATAAATTCTGAAAGTTTTCACGGTGGTGAATCTATGAGGCAATCAGTAAATCCTTTTCATGGCTACTTGAAAAAGTGTTGCTGAGGCCCTTTAAATGTGGGAGCGTTAGTCAGCAGCACCTGTCGCCATTGCAGCAAGTGTGGAACACAAAAAAAGCACACAAGATTGTCACAGATATTTCACAATGTCATCATAAAACACACACACACACACACAGCAAGCATATGCACAGACGCATTCAATGAAAAAACACGAAATAAAGATGATTACAGATTTACTATCTGATATGCACGTCAATGTATCTAAATTCATTTAAGTGCAAAGTGACAGATGGTTCGCTAACTCGCCCTGCCCCACTCTTTATTTTGAGAAATCCTTCGAGTAACAAGCAGGCTTGTTCGTTGCAGCTTTTGCCAAGGATCTTTGCCTCACGAACACATGGCTCACATGACTTTATAACTTAGGTCAATTAGGCCATCTACCCAGAATATATATTTTTTATAAAGTTTCACTGCTGTTCAACCTCATAAGTGTCTAATAAAAGTACAGACATGATGTCAATGCTATTTCCATAGTTACTATGATTGTTTGACTCTATAAGGGTGATTAAAGAAGTTGTATTAGTTTTCTTTCTTTTTTATATATTTATTTTTTATTACTGAAGACTTTTTCTGCCCACATTGGGAAGTTGAAAAGCTTGATGTTGCCCATATTTAGGCTGGTAGACCAGCCTTCATCAGAGCATCTGGTCACCTGTATTTGAAAATGACTACCTATTTAGCTAAAATAATTTGCGACTGCTTCTGTATAACAATCTTTGATACGTAACTACTTGTCAGCCATGGCTGGCACATAAAAGTAGCGGTGCTACAAGGCCTTTATGAATTTTTCAGAAGGTTACTGCAGATATAATACGAAATACACAAAGACGCATGCAAGTCTGGTAAAGCTACAGTGTGATCATCTTTTTGTCTCTTCCTCCAGTGGCCGAACAGAATACCAGACACTTGAAGAGATGAAGAAGAGGGGCCTAGATGAGCGACCTTTCCTCAGGTACTGAGTCTTTTTCATCCCATCATTTTCTCTTTGTGTAAAAGCTTTTCTCCTTGAACAGTGGAATATTCAGTTAAGGCTTGCTTTAACTACCGTAATTACTCGAATCTAACGCGCACCTTTTTTCCGGTTAAGCGAGTTCATAAATCGCATGCGCGTTAGAATCGAGTACGAACAAAAAAAATTACGGTCAATCTATTGCCATCGGCAAATTCAAAATGGCCGCCCCCTACGTGCGTTGGCACCTTTCCTTCCCCCGTGTGCGTCGGCATGGCGCGTCGGCCATTTCTGCCTATGTGTTTCCCATGTGCGGCACTTCGTACGTGTGCTGAGGAGTTCGTCATCTAGTAGGGCATTAGCATCGACGGCGTGGAAGGGCCGACTCCAAAAACTCGAGTGCACCACGATGCCGCTTTTAAAAAATAAGCCATCGCGTGTGCAGAAACGGACGGAAATCGGGCCGCATCGGGGTCGTTCGGAGTTCCTGAAACGAGCGTGCGGGACTGGCGGAAACAAAAGCAGAAGATTGTCGACAGCAAAACTTCACGCAAAGGCTTCAGTGGACCACAGCAGGGTCGGTTTCCGCAAATTAAAGAGCTGCTTGGCGAGTATGTGCTTGAGCAGCGAGCGGCACAGCGGCCCGTGACGACAGAACTGCTCCAAGTGCGGGCTATGCAATTAGTCTTAGAAAAAGATCTAATGCGGAGCCAGTTTAAAGCGAGCAGGTGCTGGCTAACTAACTTTATGAAGAGGAAAGGCTTTTCCCTCCGAAGGGGAACATGCATATGCGAAAAGTTTTGCGGAAAAGTGCAATGAAAAGCTTCACAGTTTTCAGAGGTTCGTCCTAAACTTGCGGCGCAACAACGGCTACCTGCTTGGGCAAATCGGGAATGCCGATCAGATGCCTCTTTACTTCGACATGCCTGGCACCAAAACCGTCGAGAAGAAGGGGGCGAAGCAAGTTCGCGTGCTGGCATCGGTGCACGGTAAAACTACAGTGACGGCAATGCTCTGTTACACGTCAGATGGGCACAAGCTTCGCCGGTACCTCATATTTAAATGGAAGACGCTCCCGAAAAGAGTCGTTTTTTCGAGTGGTGTGATCGTGCGGGCCAGCGAGAAAAATGGGTGCGCGTTGCAATCGATGTCTTACATTTTTTTTTTTCCGCGGTGGAAATCGGGTGCGTGTTACAATCGAGGGCGCGGTAGGATCGAGTAAATACGGTATACCGTATGCTTACTAATCTGTTCTACAGTGCACTGTCAATACTGTGTGTAGAGCCCTCCTCCCCCAAAATGTTTTCCGCCATGATGTACAGAGCGAAAAATTACCATTTCAATGGGGTGCCCCCCCCCCCCCCCCCCCCCAGGACAAGTTTCATCACGCTCAATCTACAAATCAACATGCAGTCTTTCAAGATTGATAACTAGTCAGTGGTGACACGGAGGACACCAGTGAATAGGAGCTGGTGCTGCTTTTCTTTGACTATAAATGTCGTATGCATTATGGGACATGTATATATTGCTATAAAGTGATACTCTCAATATCACACTATTGTACCCCAGCAACGTCCAACTTGCCTGCCATTTGCATTTGGGTTTCAACGACAAACACTACTGTGATTTCATTGAACTAATGAGCCGCCAGCCAGTGAGCAGGTGAATGGCACCAAAGCCATCATTTTGACAAGTTTTTTCTCTATCCGTGCAACCACTGCCATGATAAAGACTAGGGAGCATGACTCAGAGCCATGTCGACACTGGTAAAAAGCCCAACTCTTGTGATTATAAGTACTGACCGTCTGCCTGAGCCTTCTTTCACGCCTTTAAAAATGCTTAATGCTTCTGTATGTATTGTGTTTTATGCAGTTGGGGAATACTATGGCATCGGGTGGTACTTTGCATTGTCTGTTGCAGTCAGTTTTATTGTAGCAGTCAATTAAAGGCATGTTAATTCCTTGGAAAGCCAAAGTGCTCAGCATTATTAAGTAAGCCTGGCATAAGCATGCTTGGAGGATCTTTGTACGAAACCGCTACACATTAATGATTATTTAGAGCTATAGTATACATGTGTAGAGGTGTCACTTAGGCATGCTTCTTTGAATATTACAAAACTTCTGCAATTTTGTTCTTTCTATACCGAACAACTTCAACAATATTTGAGCCATCATCACTTATATTAGAGATTTTCAGTTGAAGAAAAAAAAATTCCAAAAAAACCTGCGTCTTCACATTCGCTTCTTAAGGTTAGACAGCCATTCAGCCTGACACACTTCGAAGGCACCGACACACAGCAGACATCCAAGCAATGTTGAAAATAGTGAAATGTGTCATCGTACGTTGATATCCTGGCTTCTTGTTGGAATCACTGCAGATCCCCCAGCAAGCGTTGCATCCGCCAGACAGTGCCGACACCCACGGATGCCCGCGACAAGCCGTCCAAGAGCCTGGCCCGCATGAACGGGACGTCCAGCGCGCATGTGCGCCCCTACGACAGCTTCAGCCACAAAGTACAAATCTCCGGGCCCGATTACCTGCCGCGCAAGGCGTGGGTCGACGGTGCCCTGTGAGTCTTATGCCGACTGTATCGCCATGGCTTGCAGTGCATGATACTTGCAATTTCTCAAAGAAACGTGAAAGCCAAACTTAGTCAATGTGGTACAGTTTTTGAAGGACATCAACATGACTTATCATGGAATTGGTGCCACCACTGTAAAAGTTAAAAAGTAGTTTCTGGTTTCTTAATGTTAGCGCTACTTTCATTCATTCAGTTTATTTAGGCAAATAGAAAATTGGCTCGTTTGAAGGGACTAAAGGCAGATTGCCTCGGCGTGACTAGGGTAAAAAAAATACAATGATTTTTTTTTTACAGGGAAACCAAATTCAAAAAGTAGAAAGCATACCTGAAGCTTTAGAACATCATGCTACAATCAAGAGCAAAATGTCTATAGTAAAATAAGAAAGAAATAAGCTGAAAAGCTGAAACCAGAAAAATACTAAGTCGAAAGAGTAAGTACTATGCATAAATACACATTTGAAAGAAATGAGCGACTTTTACACAACTATACAAAAGTACAAAAAAAACACTAGAAGGAAAATTTATAGTATGTTGTGAAGAAAGAGAAACAAGAGACAGCACCCCTGCTATGGGCCGGCTGTTCTTAGGTATTCTGATCTTCGTCCTTCTTCACTTTGCTAGCTAGCATGCTGCTTTTGTCATCATTACACTTGACCATCCTGCGCGCATGCAGTCCTGCCAAAGTTGGCCTTTCTCTGATGGTAGTTGTCTCTTAAAACCGCCATAGGTAGAACTAATGCCTCTCGTGGACAGCATTTGCGGCCCCGCACAGGCCAGTCGCGACCGCGGTGCGTCATTCTCTGCTAGTCATGCAAAGATGGCTTTGGTGGACTGTGCCGGTCGCCGCATGCCTATCAGGGAAGCAGGCAAATTCTTGTCTAATGAAGTGCACCTACGAGTTCAGACAGGCTGTGATGCGCGGCCTTCATGATTCGACGCAAGAACCTCTGTGCTGCCGTCACTGCCTTCTCCTGTTCTGGGGCGGCGAGGAAGAAAGATGCTCCTTGGTGGTTTTGTACCACGGCTACTATACGGGTTGTCGCCACCATGGCTGTCCACCACTCTGGAGACACCAAGGGAGTACTAGGGGTCACCTCGCTGCTCTGTGCGAGCTGGTCGCTGTCTGGCCGATTCAGGTCGGATTTCTCGCTAACGCAGACTGCCTCTTGATGATGCGCACGACATTCAAATGGTCTTGAAGTCATACTGAAGTGCCTGTGATCTCCAGTAGAGTCGCATGCTAGGAGGCCGGAATGGCTGATGCTGACTTCATCTGCTTGTGGCACATTGCTAGCTTTGGCCAAGGCGTGGTGGGCAGATCTCGATAAAACAGGCATATCGTCCATTAATGTGTCTTCGGCAGCCATGGATTCATTGAGTAAAGCACTCGCACACCCAGCAAATGACTGCCGTGAAGTAGGCAAATCTCCTACAGGTTGGTTTCTGAGCTCTCCTTGCTGAACTTCTGTGACTGCGGTGTTCCACCTGGGAATCCCGTAGCCGAAGAAATGCTCGTTGTCAAGCAGCAGTACTCGGCTGCCATCTATGGCAAACTGTGTACACCAGACAAGAGGTAATCAGCTCTCAAAACAATGTCCGCGTGCAAGTCCTCGAGGACAGTAACGACAGCAAGGAATTTGCTCTTGGCTTCGGTTTGTATGCGCAGGTCCAGTGCACCGACAGGCAAAGTGCTCCCTCTGAGACCTTGCAAGGGTGCCTCGAACTAAGGCACCAGGGTGACGAGGGCATGGCGTCGATGTAGGGCAGTATGTGAGCTTACAACTGCTGTAAGCTCGCCAACTCCGTCGACGTGGATTTGTACCATAGGAAGTGGCCACGTTGGGTATTAGGTGGCTCGATGTCATGCATGTGTTGGTGCCGCATTGTCAACACAGTTACCGAACGTCGGGGAGTGATCATTTTTTTTTTTTTTTTTTACTGGATTTAAAGACCAGCTGAGTCAGGTGTTCTTGCGAGGAATGAAGTCCAAGATACCGGTCAATGAGCTGTAGTGTTTAGGTGCAGCCTCGAGGACGTACTCCTGCTTAGCTCGATTGATATGTAGGGTTTAACGCCCCAAAACCACCATATGACTATGAGAGACGCCGTAGGGGAGGGCTCCGGAAATTTCGACCACCTGGGGTTCATTAACGTGCACCCAAATCTGAGCACATGGGCCTACAACATTTCCGCCTCCATCGAAAATGCAGCCGCCGCAGCCGAGATTCGATCTCGGGACCTGCAGGTCAGCAGCCGAGTACCTTAGCCACTAGACCACCGTGGCTAGACCTGCTTAGCTCCATTCTCAGTATGCGATTGGTTGCGCGCACCGGTTTTATGGTTGATCCGGTCGAGAGCAGTGATGAGCATGGCACTCTATTCCAGCCAGGGCAGTTGCTTTATGCCCCCGTATCTGTGCCATGCCTCGGCACAACCACGAAAGCGGACAATAGCCACCCGTCATTCACAGTTTTTGAGCCAGGCATGTCAAAAGCCGAGGGTACTGATGGTCACCACCCGCATATCAGCGTCATCTTGGAAACCTCTGAACTTCGGTGCTTACAAAAGAGTGGTATATGGCGAGGCGGCCGGCCAGACCCTGGAGCTCAATGGCTTGGAGCGGTCGAGCTGGGTCGAGCATGAAAGTACAGAATGGCTCTGCGCCGCTGTCGGGTGAGGCACTGATGGGCAAGAAATCGCGTCGGCGCAGTATGCGGCGGTCGTAGCACTCACTGTGGGAATATGCACAGTCAAGGAAGCGTGGACGGTGTCCCTTCGCCTTGTTGCATGATCTACGCCTTGGGAAGCATGTATCATGTTCCGAGGAAAGAGCTTATGTGCATTGGTCTGAAGTAGCACGTCGGCGGTCAAGTAGTTTCCTGGGACCATCATGGAGGCCTGGACGTCGACCGTTGGTGGTGGGATGAATACTTGCGGCAGTGGTCGACTTGTGGGTTCTATTAACAAGGAAGCCTGGTAGCGTTCCACAGGAAAGCGCATTACCTCCAACTACATAGTAGGTGCAGTTGGCCAAGCTTTTTGACAACTGGGCCTTCTTCCTTCGCTTCGCTAGCCTAGCATGCTCCCATGCCCAAGCACTGCTTTTGTCATCGTTACATGTAATGATTGGAGCACAGTACAAGAGAGGAAGTACATTTTAACTGATCACAGATAATGAAAAAGCTGTTCATTCAGTTTGAAAATTCAAAGAAAAAAAAGTTTTTTAGACTGTGTTTTTTACACACATTTTCTTCTCTCGTGCACCAACATTTATGTTTTAATTTGACGTTTTTTTCGCCAACCACTGCTTCTCTTTGTGTGTCGTGTGCAGGGATGCCCAAGCATTTACACCTGCCATTCCTCCCAAGATGATCCGATACGCCGATGACGACTCTCTCCCCGAGTTGATAATGGTCAGTGCTGCATGCATCCTTCCTTTCTCTCTCTTCCTTTTCAGCTGCTGCTCATGTATCAGGGTTGCACAACATCTGTGTGCTACGGTGTGGTTATCACTCTTTGCGGCATGGATTGCAGATGCGCACTTGGACACGTGTGGGCTGTGCATTGTTGGCAGCCATACTTCCCAACACTTCTCATCGGCATTGACAAGAAATTCTGGAAATGTGTCACCCTGTGGATGAGGCTTTCTACTTGTACAAAAGCAGCAACACATCAGGATGCATTTCAGCAGTTCCACAAAGAAGGAACCCCTTAAACTTGCACGACATGAGCTCGTGCACAGTCATGCTCACTATCAGTTGCAACACGATAGCCACAGCTGAGGGCACGTCAGCCCTGCACATTGACGCCGAAAAATGTCAAATTACCTTCAAATATCCTATGAGTTGAAACAGTGTTTACTTCAAATACCAGCAGCTATGTCAGGGCTGCCAAACAATGTTGGCACAACTTTGACAATGGCCAGCTTGTTGCAACTTGTATTGGGAACAACTGTACCTTGCCGCCCTTCGACCACTCACCGTACCTTGTAACGTCATCGCTGCACCAGGGAACACGGCCTGCTTTTCGTTGTTTTATTTTCCGGTCGCAGTACTCTATTTTTGGAAAAATAGTTTTTTGGATGTCTTTTCAACAGATGTGACGTTTGGGGCTTTTTAAATGTAAATGGTTTCTTTTCTCGTGTTACTGAGTCATTTTTTTTATTGTCACGAACAACAAATGACATTCGTGTTTCTATCCCAAGCAATCACAGTCGAGCACTCACGCCAGTTTTCTCAACATTCGGACAGTGCATTTTAAAAAGGTGATATCGAAACAAAATTAATGGTTCTGGTTCAAGTTAGTAATTTTGGATACTCTTGATAGTGAAGCAAAAGTTTTCTTGAAATGGGGACCAATTAACGGTTGACCAAAATACTAATGAAAATAAATTAATTGAGTTAATTGATAAAACATACATTTTTTTGCGTGAGCAATTGAAATCCTTCAGGCACCTTTTGGAGCAGAGCTCCTAATATAATACGCTTTTCGCATGTTCTCTACGATCTCCTTCTACCGTGCAGCGAAACACAGTTAACCCGAAGAGTACATCACGGCACACGAAATGCCAGGACAGCTATGTTAAGAATAATGGGAGTGGCTTCAGCTTTTTACTGGTTTGATCTTGCAACACTGGTTGCTGTGATTTTCATAAACACATTAACTTTGTGCCTGTGTCCCCTACATATAAAGAACAGTAAAAGAGAGTAGTGAAGAAGAAAACTTATAGGCCCTCTAATTTGGCCTGGCACGCCCACCCTTCCATTCTCGTTTTTATACATGGTATTTATTTTGTTTTTTCAGAGGATAATGTTTATTGCATGTTCTTCATAATGAAGGTTCGCATTGAAAGGTTTGTTTTTCCCGCTGAGGTAGCTTAGCACATAACAGGCCTACAGCCAGAGGGTGAATACCTTGAAAGCCCCCCCCCCCCCATATTTTTATCGGAAGGGGGTGTTTCACCAGAAATAGATACTGAAAATAGGTGTTTTTCTGAAATAGGCGAGGCCTTCGGTGGGCCTCCGTCAAAAATATTCCTGGCTATGGGCTTGGCACATAAGATGTTGTGCTGGTAAGCTCAAGGGCTCAAAATCAGTTATCGTCCACTGCAGTGACATTACGACAGGCAAAATTCATAGAATGCCCATGTTCCAAGATGTCAGTGCCTGATAATGAATTTCAGAGGTATAAATTGATCCAATGTCCCCAAGTAAGGCATGGCTAATAATTGTACCGTGGTTTTGGCCCATAAATTCCCAAAAATTGGTGTTATTATTGTTTTTTAAGTTTTTGTAGTTATATACCTTTCTATCTTCTGCTTTCTTTCTCCCCTCTTCTGTGTGTGTGGGGGAGGGGGGGAAGGGGGCCGGGTGCAATAGCTGTGTTGTTGCCAGGTGCTGTCTGTCCAAAATTTAATTTCTTAGGTTGTGGTTGGAGGAGAGAGGCTCACTAGACCTACTAAGGCCACTGTGCCATGCAGCACTTAGTATGCTGATGTGTAAGGGCTCTATCTCCGTTTTTTTTTTTTCATTTCTCCTTTCCTGCTCTAAAATCGATCATAATTCAGGCTTTATGAGAACTTAAAAACATAAATAATGAAGGGCAGAAGGGAGCTCTGCAGTCTATCTAAATTCATCCCCGAAATGCAATGCGGATCTAATATTTTCAAAGCTTACCCATGCCGTGTATTCCCCCATCTATGTTCTTTCTGTGCCTTGTTTGTTCTCACGAGAACAGTTGCTTTCTTTATAAGGCTCTATTATTATATTGTTGATAATTTTGCTTTGGACGTTATTCACAGCCCCTGTCGTGGCAGTCTAGTGATGATGGTTTTGACTGCTGACCTGAAAGTTGTGGGATCAAATCCTGGCCGCGTTTTCAATGGAGGCGGAAACGCTGTGAGGGCCACAGGTACTTGGTTTGGGGTGCATGTTGAAGAACCCCTGGTGGCCTAAATTTTCAGAGCCCTCTACTGCGACACCCCTCACAATCATATTGTTATGTGGAAAATAACTGCAGTCAGTCTGCAGCCACAACGCAGCTCACCGACAATGTCCACTTCTTCACTCTCAGTCTGAGGCACCCTTCTTGGGTATGTACCGCTATGCCCTGTTTCAGTCAGTCGAAATTACGTAACACGACCCCCGGCGGCAAAAGCGCCGATGCGGCGAGTTTACGGGGCCACAGCAGGAGCAGTGTGGTAACGCTTGAGCCTTGATACGTGGACGATGTCCCGGGACAGCAGAGCAGAAGAGGTTGATGGATTATCAGGGACAATTTCATATGTAGTGTCGGTCACTCGTCTAGGCACGCAGTATGGGCCCGTGAAACGAGATAGAAGCTTCTCTGAAAGGCCTGCATGTCGCGTAGGGGACCAAAGAAGAACGAGGGAACCTGTCGGAAAGTGTTAGTCATGATGCCGCTCGTCGTAATGATGCTTCTGCGAGTCTTGGGACGCCATTAATCTGCTGCGGGCAAGCTGATGAGCATGGTCAGCTCGGGTAATAGCGTTGCGTGCATATTCACAAGTAGACTGCGCAGCGGCTGGCATGAAGGTATCCAACGCCAATGTTGGTTCGCGTCCAAACAGAAGGTAAAATGGCGAGTACCCAGCAGTGTCATGCCGAGAGGAATTGTGTGCGAATGTCACATAGGGCAGTGCAACGTCCCAATCACGATGGTCGGCCGAGACGTATTTCGATAGCAGGTGTGTCAGGGTGTGGTTTAAACGTTCTGTAAGCCCGTTTGTCTGGGGATGGTACGATGTCGTGAGCTTATGTTGGGTAGAGCAGGAACGCAGGATATCGTCAATCACTTCCGAAAGGAACGTACGGCCTCGGTCTGTCAGTAGTTGACGAGGGGCTCCATGCACTAAAATGAGATCGCGTAGTAGAAAATCAGCGACGTCTGTAGCGCAGCTTGTTGGCATGGCTCGCGTAACTGCATAACCGGTTGCGTAATCTGTAGCAACCGGGACTCACTTGTTTCCGGAGGCAGATGTTGGGAAGGGACCGAGAAGGTCCAAACCAACACGGAAGAATGGCTCCGATGGGATGTCGATGGGCTGAAGATATCTGGAAAGGAGTCTCGACGGCTTTTTGCGACGCTGGCAAATTTCCCAAGCGTTGACATAACGACGTAGTGAGCGTGAGAGGCCAGGCCAGTAGAAGTGGCGGCGCACACGGTCATATGTGCGAGAGACACCTAGGTGACCAGCGGTTGGCGCGTCATGAAGCTCGCGTAGTACTGTGGAGCGCAGGTGCTTTGGTATGACCAGAAGTAGGTCGTGACCATTGGGCGATAAATTGTGCTGATATAAGGTGTGGTCCTTTAAGGTAAACATGCGAACAGAAGCGTCTTGCGGTGAAGATTCGAGCTGTTGTATTAGGCGGCTGATATCCGTATCGCGACGCTGCTCGTCCCCGAGATGAAGCAGCTGGGAGATGGAAAGGACGCAACCCACAGAATCGGTGCTCGTAGGATCGCAGTCGGCCACAGGGTAGCGTGACAGACAATCCACATCTTTGTGCAGTTTTTCTCATTTATACACTACAGTGTAAGAATACTCTTGGAGGTGGAGTGCCCAGCGGGCGAGACGACCTGTGGGATCTTTGAGGGAGGCGAGCCAGCAAAGATCGTGGTGGTCGGTGAGAACTATAAATGGTCGACCGTATAAGTAAGGGCAAAATTTCGCGACTGCCCACACCAGCGCTAGGCATTCGCGCTCTGTGATGGAATAATTCCATCACAGGAATTTCAGGTGAGGATACGGCTTCGCCACCTACCTCGGCAACGACAGCGACCTGGTACGTCACCCTAACGCAACCCCGTGATCCCGGTACCTTTACTGGAGAGGACAATGCAAATGTGGACAAGTGGCTTAGCATGTACGAGCGCGTCAGCAAGCAATATGGCTGGGACCCAACCGTTATTCTTGCGAATGTCATTTTCTATCTTGACAAGACCCCTCACATCTGGTTTGAGACCCATGAGCACGAAATCACAAGCTGGGAAATGTTTAAACAACAGCTCCGCGACCTCTTTGGCAACTCGCTTGGTCAACAGCTTGATACCCGAAAGCAATTGGCCGTATGTATGCAGTTGTCCACTGAGCCCTACTTGACTTATATTCAAGACGTCTTAGCGTTGTGTCAAAGAGCCGATCCCAACATGACTGAGGTCAAAAAGATTTCGCACGTTTTAAAAAGAATCGCCGACGGTGCGTTCAGCCTGCTTGTATTTATGAACGTAACGACCATCGACGCCGTGATCGAAGAGTGCCGCCGTCTTGAGCAGGCGAAGAGTCGACGCATTTTGCAGCAGTTCCAGCGCCTACCCAACACCGCGGCAACGTCGTCTTGCGAAGCGAGTTCTTGTCATCCGTCTACAACGGAAGACTTGACGTGCATCGTCC